ACCGAATGGGACGCCTGTAGATTCTCTCAACGGAGTCCAAATCCCGTTAGCGTTTATAGCATAGAGGCATAAAATAAAAAGCTACTTTGTTTATCACTTAAATGGTGTTATATAAACGGCATCACAGCCTGCTCTTAAAATTCATACTTTACTACCTAAGATGATGAGAGTCCACAACAGGAAGTGAGCATCGCCCGCAAAGACACGGCCACTCATAGGATTAATATTCAACCAATATCGCCCGATGTCTTTGTCTGTTTTACTGCAAAGTTTGATTTAGAGACTAAAATGTCTCTGCGGATTTTACAACTATAGAAACTATTTAACTTGGCTTAAATGATATGTATATTATCTTGTTAGTAATATTTACCAAACTGTCAGTATAAATCCTTATTAGGACGTTAATGGCTTTCTAATAAGATACTGTTTTATTGGATTTTATTGTGATTTAAAGTATTGTTGTAGTGATTCTTATTGAACATATAACAGTATTATATCTAACAACAGATTAAAAAGTGTAATAATGAACGCCATATTAACGTATATATATAGACAAAATAGTATTAAAAAGCTGACCAGAAGCCGCGATAAGTTGTACTACTTCGTTTGGCTTAGCCAAGTTAGCTCCTTGTAATGCTTCCGTCTACTTAAATATGCGTTAATGTCAGGATAATATGTCATGATAACACTTTATTATTATTGCTAACCGTTCTTTTCTCGAACTGCGTTCTAAACGATTTACAGGTTGTCTTGTTTTCGCCAACGTTAAACGATAAATAGGTCCATATAGCTTTTGTAGAGGACATATTTCGCATCAATTGGATCGCTGTTGTGTCCCACATACATTCCTAATTGATTTTTGTTTAGGTAACGTCTCATAAAGGAAGGTCATCGAGGTTGGAAAAATCAAAAGTGCCTATGTGATCTGTGTCTGTGTTGTGTTAGGCTGCGCAAACCTTGGACGCCGTGACGGGTTTCAGGCAGGTTTGTCCCAAAGCAGTGAAATTACACATCACTTCGATAGTGTCACCATTGCAGCCGAGGTTGGGGTCGATCCAATAAGTGCCTGTCGCACAAGAGCAGCGCAGCAGCAAATGTAACGTATCAATCAACACGCTGTACGTAGGTGTGGAGATAATGGAGAAGTTGAAGTGCTTCCTCACCATCGTACATCCTGTGTTCACAGTCGAAGAGGTCTCTGCAGATCCTGGCAGGATTATCACGAGTCCCCAACGGGTGCTTTAAACTTTGTATCATAGTGTTGAGATACTGCAAGGTCCTGAAAATCTCTATGCTGTGGTCCACTGAAGGCTGCTCCACGGACTGGAAGTTCTAAATGAAAATATTCACGATCAAATGTTTCACAAGGCAATATCATAGTTAATTGTTGCACAAAATAAATCCTTCACAGTTAACAAACTTGTATCAGAAATTGAACCAAACTGACCTCTTGATTCGGTGAGGAATGAGAATCAGTGAGGAATTCGACAGCAGAGCCAACGGGTTGGTTTTCCTACAGAAGAACCAAAGAAATATCAACAACAAATCTTTTCTATATTCAGTAAAATTTGTTTTGAATAATGAAACGTTTCACAACTACTTACCAGTAGGAGGGCAGAACTGGAGAGACCCTAGGAACGAAAGGTAAAAAAACTTGTGTTACACAAGATTACACTTTTAACTTCAAGTCAGAAATCAAATCCAAGTAAATTTTGAAGAAACCAAGCAAATATTTTCTCAAATATTGATGTGCGTTAATAAAACCACTACACAGTCATAACACTTACCGGTGTCACCATGTTATTTGAAAATATTCTTGTCTCTGATTCCCCACCCCCCCAAATGTAGTGAATATTCTGAGCCAGGTTGGGTTTAAAAAATCCAAATATCTTAAGGTTCAAATCAATCTCTTGGATTTTAGAAAATGTTTCTCCAGTTTGTATCATATTTAACCTTTATATCAAAAGTAGAGGTGTTCAAAATGTTAAAACTCACTGGTGGTCCTCGTGGTCCATGTGGACCTGGAGAGCCCTGGAAAAAAGAAATCAGTACCGGTGTTATCCAATGTAAACAGCATCAAAAACATGGACCACATACTGTATATATGTAAAATATATATAAGTATATATTGTATATGTATAATACATAAATGTATATGTATAAAATCTGTATATATGATTTTATATGTGTAATTGATTTTCTGTTTGTTATATTGTCGCCTAAAACTAATGTAAAATAAAACCGGTTCATTAGGTTTAGTAGGAACTAAATAGGTAGAAAGACTTAAGTTACCTCACAGTCAAAAGTCTAAGATTAAGACTACATCAACCACATTAATTAAACCAGGTGGCTGGTTCCATTTCTCTTCCTGAAGCACTTTCTAAACCATTAGTCCTCGACTAAAAACTACTGTAGAAATCAATTTCACAGACACAGTATATGATTAAAACATGATCTCCACTGAAGACAAGCAAGCGTCCTCCACACTCAGTCAACAACAGAGAAGGAGCTACAGATGGAGAACAGTTACTCACCTTTGGTCCTTGCAGTCCCTGATGATAAAAGAAACAAAGAAATCAATATCCCCCAGTGAAGACTTTCCCAACAGAGGAATGAGAGAGCACCACAGATTATGTACAGTATAATGTCATCTTTGGACTACCAATTCAACACTGTTTTTTTTTATCTACTTTAGGATACATTGCTATTGCTTCGCCAGCCTCTGCTCAGAAATCTTATTTCCGCTAAACAAATCCTATTTACACACACACGGCAATGCCATATGTGTGTTGGCGTTTGAGGAGCGAGCTGGTGAATTATGCCGGTGTACGAGCACTCAACAAACCTCTTTAAAAAGCCTGAGATGAGCGTGCGGCTAACATTTATCACCCTGACAGGAATTCCGCACCATCTAAGTGTCACTGAGAGTGTAACAACAAACAGTGGAACACAACAGGAAATGAAAAGTGCCGGGGGCACAGCAGAGCGAGCGGCGTGCTGTCTACATATTAAGTATCCCATTCTGTGCTCACAGTTCAGACTGAGAAAAAAGATTCATCAAAGCAGCGGCACGCACCGTCTCCCCTCGACTTCCTTTGTCACCCTGGGGTCCCTGATGGAGAGAAGGATGCAGAGGATCACTCCATCACTGACAAAGCACTGAGGGGAGTCACATAAAATGTGGCAGATGGAATGTAAGATATGAGCTACGTACGGGATGACCGCTGGGGCCTACGATGCCGACGGGACCCAGGACGCCCTCCGCACCCTGGAAAAGCAGTGACTACGTTAGTGGCAAAAGACGCACCTGATGGAGCGTCAGATGAAGTGCAGCCCATTTTTCACAGCGAGATTAGGACGAGGTCAGGACACTGCCATCATCTGGTGATACTAGATACTAAAGACAATCCCGAAGAAAGACTTATCTTCATCTTACCTCCAGACCACGTGGACCTTTTGGTCCTTGAATTCCTGCCGTGCCGACATCACCAGGAGGGCCCTGCAGACACACAACCACTGATGACATCGGGTCAACCCTTTACTGACCTCTGCTGGCAACAGTGTCAGAATGGTCTCCAAAGGACATTTACAGTTACCATCATGAGATTCGTTCAACTTTGGATACAGGCCAGAGCAAAACTTAACTAGACTTTCGAACTATTAGCAGAAACCCAACCTTTGAGATAAGTCAACAATTGTTATCATTTTCTTCTAAAAATCCATATGTGATAAAAAAGTCCTTTGGATGAGCATTTAATTTATCACGATTAATCATAATTAATCGCGTTAGCTCCAAAACTGTTTTTAATTATTGACTTTTATTTAATATTACAAATAAAAATATTTAATATTTTTCTGGAAGGCTTGCGAGTATTTCTTCATGAGTTCTAATATTATTAGTTAGTATGACAAATAATATTATAGTTTTATACGTATGACTTTGCACAGTAATCTAATATCCCTGCTGTGGTTAAATTAATTTATCACAATTTAAGGTATCGTTTATTTTCCAATTAAATTAAACTCCATGGTAAACAGTCCAATACTATTTATACTGGTGGGTTTTGAACCAGTTCCTGCCATGTGTCTCAGTTTACCGCTAAAACAAAAGTGCTGTAATAATAGAATTGTATTAAAATCATAGCAGACATTAAGTTAATATAATAAAAGTGGGAACAAACGAGCTGAGTCTCGTGTGGCCAAGACCTACAGTTCGATGTGCGCAGACCAATTAAAACACTCAGCCCACTGCCTAACGGCACACATGCCAGCAGTTAGATGTTGGTAAAAGTAGTTGTAAAAATAAAGAAATGTGCCGTAAAAGAGCCACAACAACAACACCAACAGAAAAACCGACAGAACTCTATTTCTCCTTTTAATTAGAATTATGTCAATACGGTGACCATTATGTAAATGCAGCCATTAAGAATCCAATGTTTGCGGGTGGTAAATTTAAGCCTTTTTAGGTACGTTTGAAATGCAATTAAGGATCCATTTCATAGGCAAGCCGGCATTTGTTTTTGTGTTTTTGCTGCAGCTGAAACACACTTTTAAAAGTTAATGAAACCTTATTAAGAGTTTAATGTCAAAATCTATCATTTAAGTGCACTCACATTTGTTCAGTTCCTGTAAAAAATACATTTTTTCCCAAGAACTGACACTGTAAAAGAATAAAACTGTAACACAGCCTTAATTCCTACATTTTTATTTGATTGCACTGACATTTATTATCCATGTTGGATCACAGCCAACTAACTGTGGGAATGGGTTTATCTCTCAGTGACACACATAGTTTCTAGGTCTGAGCAGTACGTACCTTGGGCCCAAAAAGACCAAACACCCCTGGAAAACCCTGGTTCCCGTAATCTCCCTATAAAAAGAAGCAAAGTACAGATAAAAATGTCTTTTTTTTTCTTGATAATCGTCCATGTCAATGCTCACTGGTTGTCCTTTAGGTCCTTGGTCTCCCTGTTTTCCTGGCAACCCCATCCCACCGATGGAGCCTCTTTCTCCTGATGGACCTGTTTGACCTGGGTGACCCCTGTCTCCCTGGATGAGACACAAAAACAAAACAACTTAAAGTCTGTCACATTTGACCCCTAGGGGGTCAAAGTTCAAATAATCACAGAGGGAAACCTAAAATCAATGCCGGAGACGAGAGGCTACAGAGACAAGACGACATGCAGATGATGAGCTGGAGGAGTGACTGGGCAACGGGAGAGTCTTAGTAAAAACAGATGCTAAGGACACAGTGAGGCTTCAACACTGCATGTTAATGGGAGTGTTGAAGAGTCTTCTTTTTTGTCCCTTTTTCAGGGGTTGCCACAGCGAATCATTGATTTCCATCTCTCCCTGTTCTCTACATTTTCTACTCTGACTCCAACTATCTGCATGTCCTCCCTCACTGCATCCATATATCTCCTCTTTGTCTCCTACCTGGTAGCTCCATCTCTAACATTCTTCCACCGATGTATCTGCACATGTCCAAACCATCTCAAGAGTAAACATTGAAAATCATTGAAAATGTACCTCACTCACAGCCTGATGGATGGATGGTTGGATAGATGGATGGATGGATGGATGGATGGATGGATGGAAAGATAGATGGATAGATGATGGATGATAGATGGATGGATAGATGATGGATGGATGGATGAATAGATGGCTGGATGGATAGATGGATGGATGATGGGTGGATGGATGGATAGATGGATAGATGATAGATGGATGGATGGATGGATGATGGATGGATGGATAGATAGATAGACAGTTAACCTGTTTAAATTTAATTAAATTTGTCTGTTTTGTTTTAGAAAACAATAACCTAAACTTCTCTTAAATTTCAATCTTCACGATTCAAAAGGTTTGCTTTGTTTTTTGTAAACAGGAAGAGATCTCATATGGCGGCTTGTTGAGTAGTTGCCATATAAATAAATGGTGTTATATGATACACACTAATCATCTTATAGCACAGGTCCAATAAAGACGATCCTCTGTGTTTGTTTATTTTTATCTTTTTACTGGTGAGCCCATGCAAATTAAGACCGTGCCAACTGGCTGCCACGCATTACTGCAGTGGATGCGAAGGCCTCTGAGAGTTTGTTTAAAGTCTTTGTGCAGACGTTGGCATTTGAGATCAGAAAATGCTCCAAATATAAAGGCAGCGTTGTGCTGACAGGGGAGGTAGCCCTGGAAGATTAGGGCTGTGTTGACAGTTTACAATTGATGCTGGCAATAAATCAGCCGACACTGGAAGATGCAGAAAATACTTTTTCTATAATTCAAGGTTTGAGCTGTGTATAAATAAGACAAAGATTTTTTTTTATATTATTTTACCTTTGGTCCAAAAGATCCTTGGTTTCCAGGGAGCCCCGTCTCACCAAGTCTGCCCTGCCGCCCAGCTTTTCCTGGTAAGCCCACGTCTCCGTCTCCACCCTGTTCTCCCTAAAGACAAACATGAAAAAACACAAGTAAACAATAACCAAAACCACTGACTTTTCTTTTTCCTTTTTCAAAAACAGAGTGCTTTTGTGCCGTTCTTACTTTAACTCCTATGGTTCCGACTTCACCAGGCAGTCCATCTTCGCCAGGCAACCCCTCAAGACCCTCCCTGCCGACAACCCCCCGTGGTCCAGGAGGACCTATTGGACCCTTAGTGGAGAAGCCGAGTTAACATTGGTCAATCAGGTCTATTGTCATTAACTACAAACATCATTGAAAATGGTTTAATGTTGGATCATTTTTCACTCACAGGTGGGCCTTTGGTTCCAGGGGAGCCAGTCGCCCCCGACTTCCCTTTTTTACCCTGCAGCATAAACATTTCGTGGTTGCCTTATGTCTCAAGAATCCTGTTAAGACCTTTATTTATACAGTGAAAAGGTGCCAATAGTGGTTAATGCCCTTACTTGATCACCTTTGGATCCTTTCAGCCCCAGCTGTCCTTTTGGCCCAGGATCTCCCTGTAATGATCAGCAGTGTTTCATTTGGACCACGTCCGTGTGACAAATTGCCAACATTTCAGAAGAAAGTAGGTTGCGACACTTACAGGGAGCCCCGGAGAACCAGCTTCACCTCTCCTTCCGTCAAATCCTATCTGCCCCTAGAAAGTGCAATTGTTCTGCAGTTCAGTGTATATCACATGGATCGAACCTGATTAAAATAGTAAAATAACAAAACAGAATAACAACTTTTTTTTTTTTACACTCTTACTCACAATGTGTCCAGTATCACCGTGCTCCCCTCGTTCTCCTCTGGCACCACGAGGACCCTGAGATTGTAAGAAGAAGTCGATGAGAACGGGGGGAAAAAAACATGAACAGAGTCTCTGTGTCTTTTTCTTTTTGTAAACTTCACTTGAATAAAGTGAAGGTCTTTAAGGAAAAATCCTTTATTTATGCTGCTCTAGGCCTAGACTGCTGGGGAAACTACCATGGCGCAATGAGTACATTCTAACCCCATAAGTATCAACACATTCATTTGATGAATATATATATACATATATATATATATATGTACATGTATATATGCGTATATATGTGTTTAGTGTGACAGTTAACCTGTTTAAATTTAATTCAATCTTCACGATTCAAAAGGTTTACTTTGTTTTTTGTAAACAGGAAGAGATCTCATATGGCGGCTTGTTGAGTATTTGCCATATAAATAAATTGTGTTATATGATACACACTAATCATCTTATAGCACAGGTCCAATAAATACACGTTTTTTTTTCTTTTCCAGAGACGTGGCTTCTCTGAACAAACCTAAATCGATCCAATCCAGAAACACTGGGGAAAAGATTAGTGTTTTCACTGTTTATTTGTTTTGCACTGTTTTACACTTTAACAGCTTCCGTTTGCAATTCAAAGTTTACTGCTGTACACGTCTGCTGCTGCACTAATGTTCTTTAATTAACTCGTCCCGATAATTACACTACCGGTTAAGTATTTCTTTGGTTTGTTTGATTAAGTCAGCCTTGTAAACTGAGGTACGAAAGTTAGATTTCTTTTATTCAAACATTGTCGTTAGCTTTGGAGATCGGTACAACAGTTGCCTTCCAACCTTTTTTGGCCTGTAACATCAACAAATTCCTGGCAACTGCAGACTTTTTTTTTTTCCAGTCACACGATCGCAGCCGTCAATCAAAATTTTAACTCAATTTATAGTCATTAAGATGACAGAACACATTTGTTGTGTGATTTTTTTTAATCATAATCTTAAAAAAGCATCATAATTATTATTATTTTTGTAACTTTTTTAATCAATTACTCGACATTACGACCCCATTTCAATACTTAGTGACCCCACGTGGGTATCACGACCCCAAGGTTGAAAAAAACCACTGTTCTCATCTATTCCTACTGCTCTGTACTGCTGTGTTCTGCAGTGTTCTGAAGTGACTTTTATGTTTTCTTATATATATTCTTTTTTTTTTTTTTTTTTAAATCAGCATTTTATAGTTCAACATTTTGGTGAGAAAAAGCCGTCGAGCAGCTGCTTCTGATGCTCTGTCAGCACTTTTCTCATGGCAGCTGTTAGAACAGGGCATAGACATGACATGGTGAGAGGGGGAGTAAGGGGGGGTGGAGGGGTGTTCCAGCTAAGTTCTGTTCCTACAACTAACCTCTCTGCTCCACACTCTTCTCTCCGCAGTGCACTGTTAGCTGCCATGGTGTAGCAGCAGTGACACGCTGAGATGCAAATCCGGGAGACGTCGCTGCAGAGTGAGTTTTCAGCTACAGTATGTTATTATTCCAGCGATATCAGTGAACCAGGTTTGGTCCACAGACCACCATGACAGTAGGTTTTTTCCTTCCTCCACGGTGGAGAGTATGCTGCTGGAAACTTATGATCAAATCCCATTGTTTTCTATATTGAATACCAGGTTTCTGCACCAGCCCTTCGGTAGCTACACTTCCTCCCTGTGCAGATTCATCATTAGCAGCCGTGGGATCATTATGTCCCACTACTGTAGCGTCAGCCAAAAACTTCATAATTAGATTTCCCCCGCGTTGGGAAACACAGTCAGTAGTAAGGGAAGTAAACTGAAAACAGCATTTAATGGACAGTTGGTGTTTAGAGTGATGAAGTTGTTTTTGTTTTAATCAGCATTGACTTTTTTTAATTTGTTTTCTTTAGTATGACACTCCTCTTTTGGCTGATTGGTCAAACTCTGACCAACAGTGGAACCTCGAGATAAGAGCGTCTCGACATACGATTCTGAGATACAAGCAAGCATTCAAGTAAATTTTAGCTCCGCGATACGAGCAAAGAGATAGGGCACGCTTACAGACGCCGACGCTAGGTGGCCTCTCTCGTTTACTTCACGTGTTCGCCGACTTCCGTACGCAACTCCCGCAAATCTTCCATAATGCGTTTGCGTTATCTACGTGTTTTACTCTCTCTATTTTGTGCATTATTCCTCATATTACTGATGAGTCCTAAGAGAGTGAGTGGTAAGGATGGTGGCGAGAAGAACACATGATAACAATGGAAATAAAGCATGAAATTGTCGATAAATATGAGCGTGGTGCCCACTAAAGGAATACAAATTGAAAAAAGCAAAAAAAAAAAAACAAAAAAAAAAAACAAAAAAAAAAAACAAAAAAAAAAAACAAAAAAAAAAAACAAAAAAAAAAAACAAAAAAAAAAAACAAAAAAAAAAAACAAAAAAAAAAAACAAAAAGAAAACATTACGCAGGTTAAGTTAATTCTAAGTTTATGTAAGTTACCTAGTGTACGTGTAAGGTACGTTACGGAATCAACTGTACTCTATATAGAGTCTGTGGGAGGTGTCGGTGAATCCCACCTCCCCAACTCTTTGACATTGTGCTGAAAAGTTTCATTACAGCCACCGTTTGTGACAAACACATTTCCTCCCCCTGGTTTAACAATGGTCCCGAATCAATAGCGAACGATGAAAACAGGTTCATGTGAGTAACTCACTCTGTCACCTTGGGGACCTGGAGGACCTTCAACCTTGCTGTCGTCTCCCTCTTCTCCCTAGACGGGTGACAAAACAACAACAAACAATCAATGGCTTTTCCTCCCCCGACGCTCCCCCCCCTTCCAATATCTTTGTAAAAAAACAAAATGTTTAAAGGAGTGCAACAACTTCATCTCCTTTGTAAACGAATGGCAAATTGTGCTATTAGCCGTAATGAGCCTATTCCACATAATGGTCGGAATGTTTTTTTTCCATTCAGTCTTTATGGAATTCATTAGACTCCAGTCACTATTCTTCGTGCCTAATTTTTAATAGTCATGTGCTGTGCATGTGTGAAATTGGATAAAGACGAGATGGGCCTAGCCGGCATGTAAACGTGGGAGGATAATGACAGATGATTACGAGTCCAGCGAAAAAACACACGGGGGGTGAAAACGTTACATGCTAACTTTGAAGTGAGTGGATTGATTTTCACTCATCTGCTGCATGTTTCCACGTCAAAGCTACCTGGCCGCGCATGTGAGACCGTAAATTCAGCCTGGACCTAACATTACGATATTGATTTAACTATAAAGCAAACACCATTTTTAAGGGCATTGGCAAAGAGGATGCAACAAATATCCCTGTCCAGATGGCTCCTGCCCAGTTGCTGCAAAAAAAAAAAAAAAAAAAAAACCTTAAATGAGCATCTCACTAAACTCTGGTGCAGTGTATTTTACTGTGTGCCGGTCCTGTCACATAAACACAAATTATGGCGCTAATATCCCCAAAATAATGAGCAGACGAGTCCAGGTGCTGAGCTAATTATGTACATTTGACAGCGCTTAGTTAATTGGATGTGTCCTCGCTCCAATCATCTATCAAATTAGGGATGAGTTGAGAAAAACTGAAGAGAAAAACACCGACAGAGGAAGTACTAATTAAAGAGACACCCGAAGTCCTGCCTCATTAAATGGAGTGACCATGCACTCAAAGACAAAAGTGCTTTATGACCACAATGCATTGATGAATAATGCAGACTATACAGTTAAACCGGAGCTCACCAACACACGGTCCAGTGGTGACATGAGGAACAACAAATCTTTGGAAAAAGTACCTTTTCACCTTTTGGCCCGGGAGGTCCCAGGGGGCCGTGTGGTCCCATGTGACCCTGAGATGTGGAAAAACACAGAAAAAAAATTGATTTTTTTTTCTTTCACTTTGACTAAAAGCCTGGAGCCCATGCAACCTCCTGAGCTTTGACGAGTCAATTCAGTGAGTCACAGTCATCTGTGGTCATTATGGTACTTAACGATGACTCCCAGAGTGTTGGGAAGTATCTGGAGGTATGTTCATCAGCTGGACTCTTTCTCATAATATATCATAATAATCTTGACGCCTTGGTGTGGAAATGTCGACAAAGTAGAAAAATGTATGCCCAGTAGGTGGCGTCAGTGCAAATCCGAGGATGTTAGCTGCAGTTAAAACCCTCAGGTGACACTGTAGCTGCGTTAGTTTGATAGATTATATGGAAAGACGGGGAATCACTGCATTGTCATATCACCCCCTGTAGGGATGAAAGGGTACTGCATTTAAAAACTTATTTTAAGTTAAGTTTGTCCTACAAAATAAGACAAGACCCAAGATCTTTTTTTTTAATGTTTATTTATTTTTCTCTACTTTAAGCTCATGTAAACAAGGGGCTTGGAATAAAGAATAACATAACTTCGAGCTGGGTTTAAATAACATGTTCAAGTTTTCCCAGTGTTCCCTTGAAATCCTTTAATAAATAATTTAGGCAAACAGATTTTTTAAGATTTCAGACATTTCTTTTGCAGACAGTTTTAGAATTACTGCCTCCTACCATGAAAATAAATTATTCCATCACTAAGTGTGAAGAATTGCTTACCTCATAACCTGAGATACCTGGATTTCCTAGTTGGCCCATTCTCCCCGGAGCCCCCTGGGGAAATATGTAGATATATATTTAGCATGCATTTGCCGAAAAAACTAATTAAGTTTATAAGTCCGGCAGCAAACAACATACCACCGGCCCTGTCGTTCCTCGCGCTCCTTTCTGTCCCATAAACCCCAGTTCACCGGGCTCGCCGACCGGCCCAGGCTCTCCCAGGTGACCTTGTTGACCCTTGTCCCCCTGGAAACACACCATTAATCAGTGAGTATGCAGTAAAAGCGCAACCTGTAGACAGCTGCTCAGGTAATTTACAGATTAACACTTTTAATAGTGAAAATTGACTGAACAAGCACCGTGAGGTTGTCAAAGGGTTAATGTTCACTGTTAAATCAGTGTCACTTTTTCTTTCATGCGATTAACAAAGATACTGGCTGTGATTTGACCTTGAGACTGCCAGACAGACTGAGGAATTAGGAAGAACTTCAGTTTCGAGAGCAGAAATAAACAACAACAAAAAAAAAACCCTGCAAAATTCTGGTTCTTTCATAGAATATTCTGGACCATAATTATCTTTAATGCCCTTGTTATACATTGTTGCCACAATTTGTATAAAGGAAATATATATAATATATATATATATATATATATATATATATATTTGTTTATATTTAAAATATATATATATTTAAATAATTTTTAATTCCATCCATCCATCCATTTTCATCCGCTTATCCGTTACCGGGTCGCAGGGGCAGGTACCAACCACCCTAACCGGGATTCGATCTTGCCCAGCAGGTGAACCCCGGGCCAAAGGACCACTAATTTTTAATTCAATTTTGTGAATTGTTTAAAAAACAAAAACAACTTTAAAACTGGTTTTATACTTTTTTTTTCTCTTCACAGTGAACTTTTTAACAGCTGTGACTTGTACTTGCTCCCGAAAATACGGTACAAAGAAGAAAAAAAAGGTGTATTTTGACCTCATCGAAGGAACTGACAAACCTTTTCTCCTGGTTTTCCTCTTTCACCAATTAGTCCAGGTTTCCCCTCCGGGCCCTGTGGGAGGAAGTGGACAGAGATGTAAGCGGACATACAGTAAAGAGTCTTTTTTTTTCAGGAAGTGTAGAACATTTAGACCTGACTGCTGGAACACTCACCTTTACCCCCACCAGCCCAGCGGGGCCAGGAGGTCCTTCAGTTCCTTTAAGACCAATTTCACCCTTGTCTCCTTCAGTGCCCTCCGCACCCACCTCCCCCATTTCACCCTGAGAAGTGTGGAGCAAAACCATGATAAAGGTTAAGAAAGCAGTGTATTACTAGAATGTTCTGCTCTAATCTATGACTTATTTTCACTCCTTTGGGTCGCATCTCTTTTTATTTATCATCCGGTGGTTGAGTCATCCTGGCCAGAGTGGCTGATACTGAGTAAACAACCTGATGACCCTCCATCTATCACTGCTCTGGGGTCCAGTCAAACCAGCAGGTGATTCAGTCAAACCAATGACCTCTCTGTCAACCAAAGCACTTTATTTAAATCCTTTTTTTTGTTGTTGTTAAATCTCAACACACAACTGGTATTTTGAAACTATAATATGTTGAACTAAAGCTTTGTTTTTTTCAAAGTAGGGGGCGTGTCTCACATGGTACCCCAAGAAAACAGCGTAAAAAAAGAAATGTGACCTTTAATGAACGAGTGCTGGTGGGGGGGGGGGGGGGGGGGTGGACGGGGCAATGTGGTGCCCGAGGTCCGTGAGGGGTTTCCAATGGAATACGGCATGCTGGACATAAGTGTACCAATGCTGTAATGCTTGGAAGATAACAAACCTCCAGTCACTAGGTGGCAGCATCTCATACAGCTGTTTGTACAGATATAAAAATACACGTTATCAGGTTCTCAGTAGTATTTCAATACGCGGGGTTATGGGTCGAAGGGGGGGGGGCGTGAAAATATTTCTGTCCCCAAGAAAGAAAATAACTCAGAATCACTGTCCTAGGGGAATAAAGAAAGGACGTGTTGTTCATTTTTGACCTAAAAATCAAATCTGGGGTATTAATATTATGGAACAGTGTTTCCCAAACTTTTTTTCTGGGGGACCCATATTTTAAAAGTGACCCAAGTCAATAGACATTATTCGTAAACTCCTGGGAAACATGATGTGAGATGACACCCCCCCCCCCCCCCCCCACAAAAAAAAAACAAAAAACTCTGATGGTCGCGACCCAGTCTTTGAGAAACAATGTTATGGAAGACTAGAGACTCCCCATGGGAATTATGAGAGATTTTATGGGAATCAACTGTATCATTTCTAAATATATATTTATATGCATATAAGGTGAAAACCTTCAATATTCTAAATTCTATTCCTTTTTTTGTTTTTTTAAACAGCCTTCCACAGTTGTTGGGGTTACTGTCTGGACAGATCCCAGGGCCACATATGAGGACACATTCACACCTATGGTCTATTAAGTTGCTGTTTCACACAAGTGAAAGATTAATTTGTCATAATCGACTGGTGATGACTTTGACATTGGCTATAATATCTTTACATGTCAACATGACTCCCCCTCTTTAATGAACAGCACCAGTGCAGGACCTTCTGTTCATTTGAATATCACCACATGATAGCTAATAAGATGCAGTGCTGAGTTGTCTGTCCACTGCTCGGAGTAATTGACTCTGAGCAGTATCTGAACATACTTTACTCCCAGGTCGACGTTCTTTGTGCTTTACCACCAAGCCTGCAGCTGTTTGTGTCTCTGTCAGCCATGTTTCTAACAGCGTGCATCTGCAGACTTGGCTTTTTTTCCCCTTCCTCCACTCTATGTCACAACACTTGCCAGACAGTAGAGCTAAAATAAACCTGTTATCTGTTTCATCTAAATGCAAACACCGAGCAGCTCGGGCTGTGCAAAAGGGCCAATATCTCGCAAAGCCATAATCGACTCGACTCTAATTGCAGTAAGATGCTACGGCGAAGAGACGGGAGTTCATCTGGTTCACAGACAAACAGCTCCGGGACACTCAAGAAATAATATTAAATAATGTCAACGCAGTGGCGGGCCAAAGTCCTGACAGTAGTTTTCATTTACTCTCATTTACTACAGTTCAAATCTTGATTTTATTTTAAAGGATGCCTGCCTCCAATTTTGGATTCTAGCAATTATTTTATTTATATACTCACCTTGGCTCCATCTGGTCCACTTGGTCCAGCCTCCCCATCAATCCCTGGCTCACCCTGTGAGACGAACCATTTAAATATTACAGTTGGACACATATTGGAGGAACAGTAACGTAAAAACACATGGATAAGAAGAGAAAAAACAACTAACAAATTAAATAATGGCAGAAAATGAAGCAAAATACAGTAATTTAGTGATAACTTGTAAATTCCATGACGATGATGTGACTATAAATCAAAGTATCTGGTGTTGTTTTACACATTAATAAAGAATGTGTGTTGGACTTTGCGGATAACGGGAGGCTGGTGTTTGGTCATTGAGTTTTAGTGTGTGTTTTAAGTCATTATGAGACGTTTCATGAGAATTTTTTTTTTTTTTTTTACTTTTCTAGATAGGCTTATGGTCCAACCAGTTTAGTGGACATTCTTACATATAGTACATACAGTACATACATATATAAATACATTAGTGATGTGTCGTTCGTGAGTGATCGTTTAATCTGAACGAATATTTCATATGACTGGTGACTCCCGAGTCATGTGAAAGATTCGTTCATATTGAACGAATCTCTCTCTCTCACGTTACTCCCAGGATTAATATAAAATATACTTGTTACTTTTAAGTGTGCAATACTGTTGCTTCTGGTTTGGTTTATTTAACTTTATTCTTATTTAAAATTATTTGCGTCCCTTAGATGTGTGCAGTGTGGTCTCACTAATTGTCAAAATTAGTTTTATATTCACTTGTCCTCTACCAGGATTGTTCATTTGTGAAAGGCAGCTCGGGCTGCACAGATTAATTCTCACAGATTCGTTCTCACAGATTTGTTCAAAGATTCATTCTCGCAAAATTGTTCAAAGATTTGTTTTTGCAGATTCGTTCAAAGATTTATTCTAACAAATTCATTCAAAGATTCGTTTTTGCAGATTCATTCAAAGATTCGTTCTCGCAGATTCATTCTCAGATTCATTTACAGATTAATTCTCACATATTCGTTTAATTTGTCTGCTGTAAAATTAATGAAATGATTCGTTCAAGATTCGTTCATTTTACTGTTCAAGAGTCAAAGATCCGAACCAGTAAAAAGAGTCGGTCTTCCCAACACTTGAATACATACATATATACAGTACATATAGTTAACATGGTCTACTCACTCTCTGTCCAATCAAACCCTGTTCACCAATGTTTCCTGGCAGACCAAGGCCACCCTGCGAAGAGTAAAAAAAAAACAAAACATACTGTTGCTGATGTAGATTCTTATCTAAGTAATACAGTACTTATTATACAGGAGTTATGTGTGTATAATAACTCTGCAGTAGTTATTATACACACACAACTACACAACTCTGAATTATTAACCAGAACAAACACTGGTGTTTAGTTGACATGATGACAGACGGTTGGAAAACTGGATTAAATTTTTTTTTTGGCAATAATTCCTCATCAAGTGTTTTCCACAATGTCAGCGACTGCCTTGCTCCCCACTAAAAACGTGATTTCACGATGGAGTCCAAAGACCAAAGTAATTTCCTCTGACAACAGATGTGGTGATATGATCATCCTCCTGTGACCAGTATTTCAGTCGGGCAGTACTTTCTACAGTACATCATCATTTTCACCTTCTCCCCAGTTTCACCAGGCAGTCCTCTCTCTCCAGTGTTCCCTGGTGGACCCTGTCAAACACATTATCAGCCTTCAGCTTTTAGCGCTAATGAAAAAGCAAGAGTTCTGACACCAGCTGTTTCATTTAAACTCACCAACGGCCCCATCTCCCCTAGAGGCCCGATTGTTCCTGGTGGACCTGCTGGTCCCTGCGGAGACAAATAAACACGTCAAAAAAAGGTTACAAGAACTTTTATTATCTTGAGCAAACACCTCCAAAGTTGACGGAGGGAGGGAGGAAGGTGGGGAGCAGGAACGTTTCGTAGGAAAGTGTGGATTTGTGGAGATAAGTTAATCTTCAGGGATAAGGGCTTTCAAAATTCTGAGCCAAAGCTCCTGTAAATGATGGAAACAGGCCGGCTGTTATCAAGTCACATCCAGGCTACAATACAGCTGTCTCTCCAGGAAGGAGGTGGTGTAAATCAAACTGTGTCTGACTCACGTCTCCTCTGTATCAGTCTGTGAGGCCACATAATACACAGGAATGTGGGGTCTAGTCAGGTGAACCTGAGGATTCACTTCAAAAACCTCAAGATGTCAAATGGTCCATATGTAAAGTCAAGGATGCGAGGGTTATGAGTAACAGCACGGTCTGAGATTATTAGAAATGAGGCACAGTGTCTCATATTACCTTTGAAAAATTGGCAATTAAAAAAAAAAAACTCACAGGTTCGCCTACAATTCCTTTGGCTCCTGGACGTCCTGAGGGTCCTTGAACACCCTGGAAATAAAATAAAAAGTCCACATTGGTTCACTGTATCAATGACTACAAGCTCGCATAGAGAACAACAATTAGCCGTGAGACCTTCCCGTCAACATCCCGAGAACTATGGTCGGCCTTTGTAACACACTCACCATGACTCCCTTGGCTCCGGCCTCACCCGGCTCACCCAGCTTCCCCTGCAGAGTGGATAAAAACACAGGTGTAGTATTTACCCTCACATGTGACAGAACTGCAATGAAATGTTCACGATGAAGATACAATTTCAGTTGAACTGCTGGATTTATCCTAGGGCAAACTCAATGTAATTCCCGCAAGGGAAGGAAGGGGGCGCTACATTCCATTTTAGAAAATCAACGGTTCAAGCACATTGGGAATTTTTTGTCAAAAGAAATACTAATAGTACTAAATACTATGAATGTGCTGATATCTATTCTACTGTTGGTACGAGGCCTCAAACTGATACTAGTACAGTATCTATGAGGCTGATACTTACTCCAAATACTTGTACTCGACAATGGAAACCTAATGTCCACTGACTCGAAACCTTGTAACTGTATTTACCACAGGTGCCTGAGCCACTGCTGTGTGTTTGACTACTGTATTGTTACTTCATTGTTTCCCAAAGACTGGGTCGCAACCCTCGAGTGGGTCGCAAGAGATTTTTTTTTCTAGGGTAGTCTCGCATCATGTTTCCCAGGAGTTTATGAAAAATGTCTATTGACTTGGGTCGCGAAGGTTTGTGACCTTTAAAATATGGGTCCCCAGAAAAAAAGTTTGGGAAACACTGCTGTATTTCATGGGTGGTTTATAGAAGGAGGTCAACGATGTCAATATTTTTGATGTATTTTGACATCAGGGAGACTAAAATTACTAAAGATGAGTGTCAGACATGGATTCTCTAAATTCGGACACATCCGACTGTTTTTTTCCTTCTTCTCTTCGATCTTGGAGCCTGCAACCATTTTCCCTTTAAACAGTTTTTTAATGAAGCTAGGGCGCTACAGTAATGAGACTTTGCCTGACAATAAATCAATAAAAATGTTAAGATTTCTTATGATTTTTTTTTATACAATTTTATAATATTGATATTTTAATGTATTTTCTTCCTTTTTTTCTTAGATTTCGAAGTACTGCGGATCTCTTGGGCAATACAGATAAAAAGTGTTTTTATTTAATTTAAAGATCTTAAGTTAAAAGCTAAGCGAAAATAAATTAAAACTCTCTGAATCCCTGAACAATTTCAATGTATTAAATGAATTAGACTATACATAAGAAATGTATAATATATGAGGCAGGTTTGTATAAATAACTCCCATAAAACCTATAAAGAAATTATTAAATTTTACCTATGGGGTTTTTCATGTCTACTGTGAATATTGTTCTTCATTAGAGCCCAAGGTTTTTAACCATTTAATTCATTCTCAGATGATCAGGGTTTAGTAGCGGTATTCCACCAGCAGCTGGTAGTTCCAGTGCTAAGGTACAGAAACCTGATTTTTCTCACCGTTTCTCCAGGGAGACCCAATTTTCCTAGTGGACCTTCGGGGCCCTGTGAAAGAAAAAGAAAACATCAGTGAACTGAGCTCCGCAGCATCCTCCAGAGACAGATCACCACCAACTGCACAGCGTTACCGGCCCCATCAATATTTTAGGACTCAGATTCGACGATCCTGCACTTTGATTTGTCGTTAATGAGAGCCCTGAGAACATTCTTTAGATGTTAAAAATAGTTAATCAGTGTCAGACTGCTGAACAAAGCTCCTCTACAAAAGTTCTCAGAATTTCTTCTCGCTGTGTTTTGCCACACTTGAGTCATGATGTTTACTTCTGTCTGCTGTCCAGACTTTGCTTTAAAGACGCCTCAGGTAACATCATCAACAGTCGGACACAAAATGAAGCAAATGAGATATCCTCAGTGATCTAATGCATTGTTCCCAAAGACTGGGTCACGGCCCTCAGGTCGGTCACAAGAAATTTTTTTGGGGTCGTCTAACATCATGTTTACGAATAATGTCTATTGACTTGGGTCGCGAAGGTTTGTGACTTTTAAGATATTGGTCCCCAGAAAAAAAGGTTGGGACAAACTGATCTAATGGATCATTGTTAATAATACTTGATGTGTTCACCTTTATTCCCGTAGAGCCGTCTTCCCCCACCGGGCCTTCGGGACCCCTTGGACCCTTAACAGAAAAGTGCAAGTTGTCAGTGAATTTGATGAATATCTTTAAAAAAAAACAATGAGAAGAAAAAAAGGTTCTGGAATGGCTCTGAGGGGCTGATGTTTAAAACATGGATTCAATTAACGTAGCACAGTCGGCGCTAGTGTCATCCTCATTTCATGAACCTGGTGGACAAATCACCTTTTTTTTTTTTACAGCAAAGTTCATCAGCCCTCATTGGCAGGACATGAGCAAAGACTTTGGCTACTTTGCAAATACTTGGCATTCATAAATAAATACCACGTTGTGCCCAGTCCACACAGGACAGGACTTTGTTTTCACTGTTCCATGATCACACAGCATGATAACTGGCACACTGTGGTTTTTGTTAAAAAAAAGAAAAAAGAGACTCAGTGGAAAAGGTCAGCGATGGAGGCTTAGTGAACCACACTATACACTGAGAGAAATGATATATATAAATGTCATGTCAGTGGTGTTTCCAGTGACCTCATGAGCAGGTCACGAGTAAGAGGGATCAAACGGCCAAATGTCGAGTGATCATCACAAAAGTGGCGATTTAGTTTCGAGTTTTTTGTCCACAAAAATGTTGTAGAAAATATTACTGTGTTACACAGACTATTCTTATATCATATTTTTAAAAATGTAAATAATAATTAAATCATCGTGTATACATCTGGGTTACTCACCATAATCCCTTTGGGACCCCTGATGCCCACGGATCCCCTCGATCCAGGAGGACCCTGAGAGGTTGAAAAAAAAAGTCAAGTTTTTGCTTACACAAATTAAGAATGATAATTTGTTTTAAGGCATATTATTTTTAAATTCTTAGTTTTTACGACATTAGAAAGAGCACATTTTATTTTGAGTTTGTTTTTTTTTGTTTTTTTAGAATCATACTGTATTTGTTTGTGCCTCTGTAAATGAAGCCAGGCGCAAAACAATCTACAGATTGAAAAAATAATTGCAAAAATATGCAAGTATCAAGTTGCTGTTTTTTCTTTACTATTATTATTTATATTTATAACCATTGAACCAAATTGTTACAATTTGGGACCAAATTGGTAAATGTAACTCAGTAAATGTAGGCACTAGTTTATGATTTTAAATGGGTTTTATGTCGTCTTCACAATTTATAAACGTACTTCTAAAGAATCACTACTACTCTAAATGTCTAAATGAACTTACTGGGTTTCCCTGTAGTCCAGGTGACCCTGACTCTCCAGGTATCCCAGTGTGACCCTTGAAGACACATTATACATTAATTGACATCTAAACCAACAATAACTCTGAATAATGGTCTTAATGTACAATGATTTTTTTTTATGAATTAATCAAATCAGTCTCTCTTAACATACACTTCCCTTACGTATGTGGAATTGAACGCCCCACGGTACGAGAGAGACGGGGTCCAGACTTACTCCTTACCATCGGGCCCCGTTCCCCTGGAGGCCCAGGGATCCCTATTTTCCCTCGATCCCCCTGAGGAATCACAAGAACACACTTGAAGCAGGGCAATCGTATGGAATTGTCACCGTTCATGGATCATTTTCGCTGAGTGATGTATGATCACGCAGGAGGAGATAAGCCTGTCGTCTACATGTGGCTCACTCTGGTAACACGTAATGTCAACACAAATCAACAATTATGAGTGAGAACAGAATAAAAAGTGATGTCTTGTTAGCAAAATAAAGCCATCTTCGGTCGATGAATTTGGCATTTTAACCTTGTCAGGTGTCGAGTGCTGCCCAGTGGGTTGAGACACTATGGTTTATGGTTTAGGCCATTGTTTCCCAAAGATTGGGTCGGGACCCTCAAGTGGGTCGCCAGAGTTTTTTTTGGGGTCGTTCCAGGAGTTTACCAATAATGTCTATTGACTTGGGTCGTGAAGGTTTGTGACTTTTAAAATATGGGTCCCCAGAAAAAAAGTTTGGGAAACACTGATTTAGGCTACAGTAACAGCTGGACCATTTTTCAACATAGGGGTTGCGACACCAAATGGGGGCACCTGGATTTCAAATTGGGCCGCCTGAAATGTCTAGTTAAGTAATCAATTAAAAAAATACTAAAAAAAAAATTATTAATATGTATTATTAAGTAAATATTTTTCTTTTTAAAATTATGATTGAAAACACCACAAACAAAAATCTTAGACATCAAATTCTACAAAACCTTCTCTCTAATAATGTCAAAATGGGGTCACAAGCCCAAACAAAAAAAGTTTGGCAACCACTGAGGTCGACTTTTACTGTGGCCCCAATTCTGATGCTGCTTTAGCAATAATTAAGTAGCGATAATGACCTGGGCCGCTGTTGCTTAATGTCCGTAGGGGAAAACCCTGCTTTATCATTGAATTATTTTTGCGAAGTAAAATACAATGATTTCCATAAATGTGGGTCACCACCACAGACAGGAATATGACACATGAAGGTGTCAAACATTCAGATGAGTCGACTCCGTGCTAACCTTTTCGCCGGTGATGCCCATCTCTCCAGTAGGCGCGATAAAACCAGGCGGTCCCTGAAGGAGAGAAAACTCGTGCTGTCACAAATTATTCCAATTTCATTTTAGGTACTGCTTAAAGTGATTTTCGTCATAATGACCTACTGCGCTTTGGGGCTCCGACAGAACTGACACACACATGGACACACACTTAGCATCAAACATAAATCAGCAGAAAGAGGGAGAAAAGCCTTTACCCTCTCGCCAATCTTTCCGACCTCGCCAGATATCCCAGCCTCGCCCTACAGCAAAGCAGCCAATTAGCATATCACAAACTTATTCATGCCTTTCGTTTTTACTTCAAATCAGTTGAAAATGGGCTCGGAGGGCCGTTCCCTTGTGGTAAACGGGAATTAACATCTAATTTACACATATTCAGATGATACATTATCATAAAAGAAGAAGCAGGGAGAAAATGTTCACTTAAGGATGACAGCGGTTAAGTGGTAGATATTTGGCTCTCATGTCTGACCTTGAGTCCGTCTGGTCCTGTCAATCCAGGGCATCCCTGCCTCCCAGGCCTGCCCTGAACAAAAAGCAAAAGTGACACATGGAAGTGCACCGCAGCTCCGAACGTCAAGATAATCATGTCTCTGCAGTGAACGTCTTCTGTTTGGGAAGTTCGCACAGTGACGCCGCTGCGCCTCCAAAGGCCGTGAAACGCCTGGAAAAAAACTGACAACTGGTGCCAGAAATGGCAGCAACAATAAAAACATCCTTTGAAGGAAGTTAATTATGCAGAGAACAAAAGCAGCTTGAAGCGTCCAAGGACTTTGTATTCATCTCTAAATGTCGTTGGGTCACTTTTAGTGTTTTGTTTTCCTAAGTCACCTGTGGGCTACACGTGTGGGAAACACTGGGAGACTGCAGTCAACAATTACTAAAGAAAACTCTATTGTGAACTTCAAATAAAGACTTATACAGAGAGTCGCTACGGAGAGCTTTAATCAAACACCAAAATAAAAGCCTCTTTGTGTACTGTACTTTGAAACAGACAAAGTAAACAAATGGAGTTATTACAAAGTATTCATTATTGTTACTATTAAGTAGGTACTTTTTACTGTTGAAGATAACCAGACGCTTTAAAGCAAACGTGTCAAACTCAAGGCCCGGGGGCCAAATGTGGCCCGCCAAGTTTTTTTGTGTGGCCCATGGGAGTTAATTTTTTTTTTTTTTTTAAAGAGCAATGAACAATATTTGTAGCTTTAATAAATAATAATCAATTGCAGTAACATGTATTAGTCTGTTATGGAGTAGTTACATCTATACCAGCGGACCCCAACGTTGTTTGTTTGAAGGAATGGTCCGCCAGTACCACCCATGACTACAGACCAATAACAAGGTGCCGAGCATTGAAGGATGTCCCACTCCGGTCCGGTACCACATGACGTACGGACTGGTACTGGTCCGCAGACCGGGGGTTGGGTACCCCTGATCTATACAGTCTTCCATTTACAACCAGCCCTTCAAGGGGAACTGTATTGCTGATGTAACTTCCAGTGAGAATGAGTTTGACACCACTGCTTTAAAGGGACATACTTCTTATTCTCATTACATCTGTTATAAGACTGTAGAGAGAGAGAAACTCTCACTTAAAATTCCTCACCTCACTGTACATATTCAAACATATTTATATATTTATTCATCCATCCATCCATTTTCATCCGCGTATCCGTTACCGGGTCGCGGGGGCAGCAGTCTCCATAACCGCCACCCAAATCACACTGCACCGTACCAACCCCCCTGAACCTTCTTGTGGTTGGTGAGTCCACTGGAAGGTACCAACCACCCTAACTGGGATTCGATCTAGCCCAGGAGGTGAACCCTGGGGTTCTACACCAATGACAGAGACATTGCCTATGGGCCAAAGCGCCACATATTTATTCATATATTTCATATATATTTATTATTAAATCATAGGCTGTAGACTGATGGGAAAGAACTGGAACCCAACGTAATGAAATATATGATCTTTTAGTTTCAATACTCAATAATTTACCAACTTAATGTAAAACCTGGGCCTGTTTAGTTGAACGTAATTGAAGAAAGACAGGAAGAACTTCTTCTACTGCTCTCTTTTTAGTTTTTATAGCCATCTGCTGCCACCTAGTGGAAAAAGTGTTCTGCGTTTGTTTGCAGTAACTGAAGAATATTTTTTTAAACCAATCCAAGAAACTGGAACATTGTCCACGACACACCTGATGACCTAACATTAATGAGTCTGACAGAATGTGTTGAGGAAGGACAGGAAACTCCAGACTGGAGGAAGCTCTTTTACCATTTGTCTCTTTAGCCTCAAATTCTTTTGTCCAAAAAACTAAGATTCTGTGACTGAAAAAATTTAACACGAAAACATACCTAAATGAGCGCAAAGTAAAAAAAGCATTTCCTTTGGAACAACGTGTTCCTCTGCCTTTTTATGATAGAGAAGAAAACAGCAATTTGCTGACCAGTCTGGTAATATGAGTCTAGAGCGTCCAATAGGAAGTCTTTCAAAACAGATTCTAGAACAATAGAGGGATCTGACATCCAGCCGTCCTGGGGTCATAACAGACCTTGGAGCATAAATTAGACCAGGACTAAATATAGGATGAGACACATGGAGCCCGTGGTGGAGACCGAACTGCGGCCTGGTGTGTTTACATAGCAGATGTTATATGATTATGGCTTTATGGTGTCTTTCCCCCAGTTTCAGGGATCAATCCAGTCAACACTCACCTCATGTCCATCCGGTCCAGCTGGCCCCTGTGGTCCCTCGTCACCCTGACAAATGAAGATGTAATGAGAGTAAGTAAAAAAAAAAAGTTTTTTTCTGTTTATTTTTTTACATTAAAAAAATCTAACCTACCGCAGGTCCTAGTGTGCCTTTCAGCCCAGGTAATCCTTGTGTCCCTTGCTTTCCCTATGGAAGACAAAACCTATAGAGTTCCTCCTCATCGATCATTCATACCTAAATCACTACAATTCGTCTTCTAACCTTGGGTCCTTGCGGTCCGTTTTGTCCTGGTGGTCCAATGTCCCCCGGAAAACCCTGAGCAATTGTAAATATAAGACATTTCAAATACTGTAGTATGCAGTAAGTCCCAATACGGCTGAGTAAGTTTACATTGACTTACCTCTGGGCCAAAGGGGCCACGTACACCATCAGGGCCTCTCTCCCCTGGTTTTCCCTGTGAAATTTCCAAAACATATCCAAACATTAAATAACCATTCCATTTACACATTGTACACATGGCATTTTTTCCCCTCTTTTCACACCCTCCCTGAAGTAATATTGCGCCCCCCTGTGGAAGGCATGCTCCCTCTGTTTGAAAACCACTGATATTTACCATAAGCCAGGGGTCACCAACTATATTTTATTATCTCACATTAGCAATCACAATAGCAATATTAGCCTTATTGTTTGATATTTATTTTTGAATCCAGGCCGGATTTGACAATTCCTTGGACCAAATTTGGCCCGCAGACCACCAGTTAATGATCATTGCATTTGCAATTATATAATAGTGTAACTATGTAGATCTCAAATCTGCAGTAGCGCTATATGGTTTAATGCTACGATGACTTAACACTCCGAGTATCTATTTTTTGGTGTTTAAAAAAAAACAACTAAATACCTGTGGTCCTGGTTTTCCACGTGGACCTGGCGGCCCAGGTAAGCCAAAGAGTCCCTATAAACAATGGTCAAGAGAAAAAAAAATAATGTTTGAAAAAAAAAAACCCAACATTGTTAGGTGTGAGGACAAGGCAAAATACAGTGACATTTTTTCAAGATTTTAGGAAAACAGAGGTGATGTTAGCCCAGCACAGAAACACAGCTTTGTTCTTATCTCTACAAACCACCAACCTTTTTATCAGTAACACTCACTCAACAGCCAACAGCACAACATACCTTGTCCCCTTTAAATCCAAACTCTCCTGGCTCTCCTGCCAAGCCCATATCCCCCTGAGAAAACACAAAAATAACACAGATTTTATTAGCAAAAAAAACAAAAAACCAACCAACTATTCCATCCACCTGCACTGCAGAAACGCTGAGTCATTTCAGCTGCTACAGCTTTGTGGGAGAGATGAAGTGCAGTAGATTTAGAAGGATAGAGGGTCTGAGAAAGACGTATGCAGATCACCTTATCACCTTTCAGTCCGGGGTCGCCTGGGTTTCCAGCCACTCCCTTGGAAGAAAAAAGAGGAAAAACTGAAATAATATATATATATATTTTTTATGTTAACACAGCTTTACCCCGTCTGCTAAATAACATCACCAAAAGTGACAAACAGCCAACTGGAACATAGTGATCAAACAAAAGACTCACAAAATGAAGACGGAGTTTACCTTGATTCCTGGAAGTCCCTCTGAGCCAAGTATACCAACAGGGCCCAGGTCTCCCTGTGACCAACATCATACACAGAAGAGTGAGACTGAAAACTTAAGAAAATGTCGATGTTTTCTTATGAACATATCTATCTATCTATCTATCTATCTATGCATCCATATATCCGTCTATCTGTTCATCCATCCATCATCCACCCATCCATCTGTCCATCCATCTATTTATCCATCTATTCATCTATCCATCCATCCATCCATCCAACCATCCATTATCAACCTATCCATCCATCCATGTATCATCCATCTATCCATCTAAGTATATCCATCCATCCATCTATCATCCAACCATCCATTATCACCCTATCCATCCATCCATGTATCATCCATCTATCCATCTAAGTATCCATCCATCCATCTATCCATCCATGCATCCATCTATCCATCCATGCATCCATCTATCCATCCATCTATCCATCCATGCATCCATCTATCCATGCATCCATCCATCCATCTATCCATCTATGCATCCATCCATCCATCTATGCATCCATCCATCCATGAATCCATCTATCCATCCATCTAGCCATCCATGCATCCATCCATCTATCTGGGCTGACTAGTAGGATCTGGTCAGTGATTGGATTCTCTCAACCCAGATCTGAGTCTTAATGTAGTGATTTGAAACACACAGTTTGATCAGAAGCCAGATTTTCACATCGAGGTGTTCTTCTCCGATTAATTAGGCTTTTCTGTACTTTCAGTAGATAATGTCACCAATGTGTTTAAAAAGTGATAGAGCAGGGAGCTGGGCCAACAGTGACATCATTTACACAAACTTTGCCAGGTAAATGTTCCTCATCCTTAGTGCTCAATTGATTTTAATATTTTATCTCTTTAGATTTTATTTTTGAGTGTAGTTACTGTATTTGACCCAAAGGAAACCCGCTGATACTTTCCAAGATAAATAAAGTGAAAGGAGAACACCAAAGTATAAATAACAAAATTTAAACAACACTCACAACAAGACCGGGGACTCCATGTGGCCCAGGAGGACCCAGTTCTCCCTAAACGGCAGGCAGAGCCAGAGAGGAAATGGGAGTAAGAGAGGAGAGGAGAGGAGTAAGAGAGGAGAGGAGAAGTGAAGAGAGGAGAGAAAAGAAGAGAAGAAGAAGAGGAGAGGAGAGGCGAGGAGAGGAGAGGAGTAAGAGAGGAGAGGAGAGAAGAGGAGTGGAGAGTAGAGGAGAGGGGAGGAGAAGAGAGGAGAGGAGCGGAGATGAGAGGATAGGAGAGGAGAGGAGTAAGAGAGGAGAGGAGCGGAGATGAGAGGATAGGAGAGGAGAGGAGTAAGAGAGGAGAGGAGAAGAGAAGAGAGGAGAGTAGAGGAGAGGGGAGGGGAGGAGAGGGGAGGAGAAGAGAGGAGAGGAGAAGAGAAGAGAGAAGAGAAAAGAAGAGAAGAGGAGAGGAGCGGAGATGAGAGGATAGGAGAGGAGAGGAGCGGAGATGAGAGGATAGGAGAGGAGAGGAGTGGGGAGGAGAGGAGAAGGGAAGAGAGGGGGGGAGAAGTGAAGAGAGGAGAGGAGCGGAGATGAGAGGAGTGGAGAGTAGAGGAGAGGGGAGGGGAGGGGAGGAGAGGGGAGGAACGGAGAGGAGAGGAGAAGGGAAGAGAGGAGAGGAGCGGTGATGAGAGGATAGGAGAGGAGAGGAGAAGAGAAGAGAGAAGAGAAAAGAAGAGAAGAGGAGAGGAGCGGAGATGAGAGGAGAGGAGAGGGGAAAAAGAAGGAGAAAGTGAGAGATGTACCCAAGATCCAAATTGATCAAAACTGGATAAAGGGTTAGAGCTGCAGCACTTCAGGGCATCATGAAGGAAGTGTCTTCGTCTGGTTTATTCGCTGGTCGGTTCCTCCTTTAGAGCTTGACTAATGCGTCTCTACCCACAGCCCAGCTGACGGAGCAGGCACTTGGCTCTCGACACAGAGGCATGTTGTCCAAAACGATGCACCCCACAGCCACGTACCATGTCTACATCCTCTCCAAACTGTGCGTCCAGTGGAGAGACGGATGAAACGCAGCTCAGTGGGGGGGCCTTCCTGTCGCCGCCTGTTTCTTCGCGAATGAAAAAGGGATACAATTCGGCCAAATGGAACATCCCCGTGGCCCTGCGGTGGATGAGGAAATGAGGCCTGGAAAAAGGTACCTGGCGGTGGGCCAATTGAATTCTAACCGCCGATCCTGTCAATCTGAAGCGGCGCCGGTCAGAGGAAGAGCGAGCAGAGGTGAGGGAAGAACTGCTGACGCTGCCCCCCGTATTACCGCGGGTAATGATGGTTGAGTGAGTTACCAGTGCGACGGGTTTGACTCGCACTCCATCTTGTCAAGGAATAAAATGTTCCCTCTGTTAAAGTCTCCTCTCCTTTCAGACAAGTGCAGGAGTCCCACTGGACCCAAACTGAAGATAGTAAAAAAAAGTGCTGCAGTAGCACTTTTTTACCACCATACGATGGAGTGAACTTTTTAGGCAAGCACGCAAGAATCTACCTTGGTAAACAACTGATGTGGCGCTCGATAATTCAGAGACATATGAGGCAATAATGATCAACAGGACAGCAGGGGGAGGTCAAGTGCATAACAAAACACAATAAAGTACATCACATCTACTTCAAACATAGCATAGATAAAGTATATATTTTTTAATATAATGCATTTTTTTAATGCAACCAAATCATTTTAGTGGCAGTTTTGGAGACCTTTGCTGTCTCCAACTAGAATTTAATACAGTTACAAAATTTTTAACATGGTCTCTAGCAATGATTTTTGTTTTTTTTGGCTCATTTTTTTGTTAGTTTAAGGTGTTTGAAGTGAATTTTTTCAAAATAAAATGTAGGAGGTGACATATAAATCTGTGCGTCCCAGTACAAAATGATGCACAGCTCAGTTCTGGTCCACGATCCAGTGGTTGGGAACCCGTGATATAAAAGTGAAAAGTGATTCAGTTGTCATTGTTGCACAACACACCACCGCACACAACGAAAGATTTAGACCAGAGGTGTCAAACATAAGGCCCGAGGGCCCCTTTGGGTGTTCAATCCGTCCCACTGGATGAATTTTAAAATTAAAACCATATTTTATTAAATATGAATAAATATCTAAAATACTGGTTTTTGCATGAAAACAAAGGGGGGAACATGGATTTATTGTTACTAATACTTAATTATGTTAGAATTGTTCTTGTACGACTCACTTGACGCCTAATTAGTAGATGTATGAGGCCCATGAGCCAAAATGAGTTTGACACCCCTGATTTAGATCTGTGGCCCCCCCTTTGTGGTATGCGTACCACCAGTGGTACGCGAGCGCTCTCTAGTGGTACATGGGGAAAATTCATATTTTCACATTTACATTTTCAATTGAAAATGTAAATGTTAATTATTAATAATTAATAAATGTTGTATTAATTAATACAACATTTAAACATGTACATCTTTCTAAACATTTCTAAACATCTCTCCTGTGGTGGAAGCTAACAGTGAAGGCCTATGCTGCTATATGATAATGTTGGTCATCATGGTGGTACTCAGAGAGATCAATGTTTTCTCAGGGTTTACAGAGTAGAAAAGGTTTGAGAACCACTGGTTTAGATGGTTTAAAGAAGGGAGACATAGCATATCAGAACCTCCAAAAATGTCAGTTAAAATAAATAAATCGTTTCACTTACTGGGTTTCCATCAGGTCCAGGAGGACCCCTCTCTCCCAAGTCCCCAGGAAAACCCTGAACACAAAGACAAACAGGAGAATGATGAAAACCATCTCTGTCATGTTGGTCTGATAATTAAGATTCAAGATTTGTAGATATGACCAGGAACAGAATTATTTATGCACAATGACATCGACTCAGGAATAAACACAAAACAAAAAAAAAATTTGACTAAGAGAATAAATGTTCAACAAAAAATCTGCAGAAACATTGCTTTGATTTTATTACCAATTATAAAAAAAATGTCTGCTACGCAACACAGCTGAAATTGGATTTGCAGAATTCCTGGTAAAACGACAGGAAATTATATGGAAATTTCAGAATCCCGTCTTTCGAATGGACTGAGTCTCCATGTGTGCTGGGAGTGCACCAGACATGCAGGATTTGTCTAAAAAGAATAAAGCCTCTTGGCCCGGGAATCGCTGACTGTAGAATTTTTCCTCTTTTTTTTTTTTTTTTGCTAGTTGCTTTCCAATTCCAACGTAGAAGCAGAACAAAAGGTGTGACGACCCAGCTGCGAGGCCGCGAGGCGCAACACGTGCTTTTTATCATGCAAAGGTTGACTCGCAACATCCCGGATTAGCACATGCCCACAGAGGCTCACGGTTTGTTAAAATGATAAAAGACAGAAGAGGAACAGCGATCCGTCTCTTGCTTTTCTCTCCGTCTGCAGAATTAAATGGATCCAATAAAAATGCAGACAGAATTTGGAGCTGGGACCTTTTGAATATTAGACTACTTCCTAAGAAACTTGAGGATAATAAAATTCAATCGAGGAGAAGCAAAGGGCCTGCAGGAAATGTGGAGAATTTTGCCAGTTTTAAAAATCGTCAACAACACGGTTGGTTTGGATCAGAAACACACGCAGGTTTTTTTTTTTATTAGTTCTATTCATTTAACGTCTGGCCTTTTTGCTGACTGTGCAATACAGTTCCTCGCAATAATTTCATTACGAAAAGTCTGCCGCCTCCATGTGACAGAACAAGTTTCTGTGGTTTTTCGTCTTTTATCTGACTTGAGTGTTTCGGAGAAGGAAAAAAAAAGTTTAAAGGCTTTGTTTTATGACTTCTGTCACTGATTGTCGTTTTGTGCTGACTTACATTCAGTCTAACCAGACATAATCAAGGAATGATTTCTTTTTTTAATTGAGAAGCAAAAGTTCAATCTTAACAACTTTAAATGTTTTCCAGGTGACCTGGAATGTTTGGGCAGATAATTCTAATGATGACATTAACAGTAAACAGTCATTTGAATTTCGCATTTTACCCCCTTTTTTTTAATTTATTTTCTGAGTCAAAAATAAACTAAGACACAATAGGAAGTTATTTGCTAAATGTCAGATGACGACATGCATTGATGCAGTCATCAGTCAACTCATAAAAATACAGACGAAATGATCTGGCAGGGATAAAATCAAGTGCTGCTTTCATCATGAAACGAGGCAGAAGAAATCAGGGCAAGAGCCAAGAGCTTTGTTTATTGCCTTGGAGGCGGAGGGGGTAAATGGGGAGCCAATCATAGCTCAGCAGTGGCCAGGAGTATGATGAATAGAAAAAAAGGAAAATGCCAAAAATTGGAAAAAATGTAGGAAAAAGCATGATTTAAAATGTATAAATATATATAGAAACATATATATAAATATATTTATAACAAATATATAAATATAAATAATAAATATATATATAAAAATATAATAATATATATTTGTATGTATCTATTACAACATTTATGTCTGTGTATGCATATATTTATATATATATATTTATATACATACATCTATTTATATGTATATATGTATGTAGTAAACAGTTTACTAAATTAGAGTTTCTTCATTTCATCAGGGTTTTGTATATTTATATATTTGTATAACGTGAATATTAGACACTGTATTTTAGCGCATCCAAACGAAACTTTAGTGACTCAGTTAGATACATACTGTATATACTTATATATATGTATATATATGTATCCTGTATATATGCGAACATATATAAAGTACAGTATATATATTTAAATATATCTATATCAACATTTATGTATGTACATATGTATATATTTATATACATATATTTATTAATATGACCATATAAGTAGTAAACAACAGTTCTGGTCCTTTTTTTAAGTCATTCTAAAATTTAAAATATTACACATTGTGTTTGAGTGGATTGAAACTAATCTTTATTTACTGCGTCGGGCCCAAAACTAAGTACTGTCATATAATACTAAGACTTAATTAAAATTGGCTGTCAAAAATAATTCTACCATGGATATTTTGGTTGCCGCTTGGTAGAGAGAGAAATCTGTCCTGGTCCATGATCTCAATGGGGTTTTTTTTTCAAAAGCAGTTGCTAAGAATGACCTTCTGGATCTCAAACCAAAAAAATATAAGTATATAAAAAGGGGCGGTTATGCCATTGTTGACATAGTGTATTTGTGAATAAATGTCCCTTCAGATAATGTGTCCATGAGGTGATACAGCAGGGACGGAGGACATTGCTCATGTGAGCAGCGGAGCCAAAGTCATTCAGAGGTCAGGCCAAAATATTACATCTCTGACGGCAGCCGTAAAACATAATTCATATGCATTTACGCTCGGCCTGCTCCATATCTGTTCACGCTGTGTCAATGCTGACTCAGAGGAGCAGCGTAAATGCTTATTACACAAAGTGACTGACCTCACTCTTCGCCACCGTGGAACAGAAAAGCCTTACTCATGGTTTGGCGTCAGAAAAGATACATTTTTGGACCTTAGCCTAAGTCACAGACAATTTCTCCTGGATAATATTTTAAAAGAAAAGGGGAAAAAAACTCTGGTACAATCTGACTGAGCCTGTGAAAATATAGAAGTTACTCAAGCGGTTTTGTGCAGTTACTTTTTTTTTTTTTCGAGTAAGCCTGCAAGGATGGGGAACGAATTTCCAGGCGCCACTGACGATAGACTTTCCTGCTCTGTGGGAAGAGACTCTGGATAGTCCGGGCCAGAGCTGACATATAACATTATCATCACAGGAGCCTAATGCAAAACAAGCAGCGCAATAAATTTTAGTCAATGTCAAAATCAACTTCGACTGAAGATGATCGAAAAGGACGGGCGGCCAAGGACTTTAACGAGTTGACAGTATTTGATTTGAAAGAAGGAGTTTGTGAAGGAATATTGCTACTTTATTTACAGTATCTTTTTCCACTTCTTGCCCTTTGGGGTCAACGGGGTTGGGTACATTCTGGACAGATTGTTCTAAGAATAGCTTCAGGCTTGCAGAGTTTGTATGTTTTCCCAATTCTTCAAATACTCTGGGTTCCACTCTAACCAAGATATTCCACGTTTAAGGACTATATCATAAACTGCTGACCTCGACTGGCGATTTACATTCTATTTTTTGCATTTATTTGATTGGCAATGTCTCATGAAATAATTCACAGATCAACACAACACATTGGTATTTTCACTAGCGTTAAAACTTAGAATTCTGAAAATGTTGGGAGAAAACATTACCGGCCTACCCATCTCGCCCTTCTTCCCATGAATGCCTGGAACACCCTGAAGACACGGAGAAGAGAAGACACAATTATTATTACTGTTGTTGTTGTTGTTGAAAAAGCAACTTTTTTTAGTTTGCTTAAAAATGTTCCACTTAGCATTTGACTCATTTCAGTTTAAAACTTTTGTTCCATTTTGGTCAAATGTGTTATACGTTTTCCTTTTATGCATGTACTTGGGGTGCCTTTGGATGTAAAACTTCGCCAATGGATATTTGGCCCACTGGGTGGCAGTAATAAAAGTCAAAAAATTCAAAATTGGAGGATGAGGCAGAACAGGAGTTGTAGTAATAACATTGTCTAAGACAGTGTTTCCCAACTGATTTTGAGCCACGGCACATGTATACCACCAGGAAAAACTCCACGACACTCCACCGAACAAAAATCTCACAAAAAGTACAAGTTATTAAATACAATAATATCCTAGTTTAAATGTACTAAAAAATGAACTCCTGTTTAGTTGAAGGCAACGCTAATATACTACAGGAATTGAAGAAAGAGATCTTCTTCAGCTCACAGCTGTGATAATCTTTTCCTAGTTTTAATAACTATCTGCTGCCACCTAGGATTTCATTGCTCTTTGACAAACAAAGAAAAATCATTTGCAATAAAAAAAATATTCGTTTTGGGATATTGAATAATCTTTTGCGGCACATCTAAACAGCAAACTGACTATTCTTAGTACAAACTCTATAAATGAAACAGATTTGAGTTCCAGAACAAAATGTTTTATTATGTAAGAAGAGAAAATTTAGACAATTTTAGATTTTGTTACAACACTATTGCAGGTCTACAGCTCCACAGGCAGCACCTCTGATTGGCTACTTTCTAGAGTTGGTTACTTCTAGTATCTAGTTCAACCCAGACCTCAGGCTGGTACTTCATTTTAACAAGACAATGAACATTTGGATGTGTAGTTTTCACCTGGTTCGAGCCAGCGTTCACTAAATATTACTGTGAAAAATGACTTCCAAAAATGCAGCCTAGTTCCATTTCAACTTTTCTGGCCTAGGGCCCACGGACAGTCATATAATCCCAGCCAGCAGGCATTCATTCTCAAAGAAGCTGATACTCACTCTATCTCCATTAGGACCATGGCGACCAAAAAGCCCTGGGACGCCAATGTGACCCTGAAGAGATGAATAAAAAAAAAAACAGAATGAGAAACACATTTGGTCGACAAGGATGGGGAAAAAAAAGAGTCGGAGCAGAAACTGAACAGAGACAGAAATGAAATTCTTAGACGAAAACACCACTGAAATGATCCGTGAAAGTGACGATACAGTACTTTGATCGGATCAGAGTAGCGCAGGCCTCCCGCTGTAGTTGCGAGTAGTCTGGAGGAGCCCAACCTTGAGGCAAGTGTATATGCCCATGGACTGCATGGTGCCAGCTTCCACGATGTAGTCCAAGGGCACATACCCTCACATCAGGGTTCTCTGAAGACGCCACGGTCATACCTGCTCATTGGTAGAAGAGTGCTGTGGGGAGACATTACACTGACATTATGCGTCAAGAGAGAGAGAGAAGAACTTCTGAAAGCGCTACAGCCGCGCTCGGAAACAGAGCAATATAGTTTTATGATGTTTGCCTTGGAGGAGCAGCAGGCGTGGAAACCATTTAAAGAAGTCAATTGCTCCTGCAGTGCATTAAACACACATTACATAAACCATATGTCATAATCATCACCGAGTCAAGTGTTGTCTGAGGCACCAGTGGTTTCGTGCACCCACACTGGTTTTGGAGTGGGGTGGGGGTGGAGGGTGGGGTTGAGGGTGGAGGTTCACTGAGCATGAACTTCACGGTTTGTTTGAAGTAGTTCAGGGTTCAACAGCAGAGCATTCATGGTTTTCTCCAGTGAGTGGGAACCAGGAACCATCAGATTAAGGAATCGGGATGAGACATTCATTTTAAGTGGCGCTTTGGCCCAGAGGCAATGTCTCTGTCATTGGTGTGGAACCCCAGGGTTCACCTCCTGGGCAAGTTCAAGTCCCGGTTAGGGCGGTTGGTACCTTCCAGTGGACTCACCACCTGCAGGAAGGTTTGGTACGGTGCAATGTGATTTGGGTGGCGACTGCTGCCCCCGCGACCCGGTAACGGATAAGCGGATGAAAATGGATGGATGGATGGACATTCATTTTAGGATTGTTGTGTTCAAAGAGGAGGGCTATGACCAAGAAGGTACAGGAAAGTCTTGTGGACTGTTTCTGAACATAGTAAGATTCTTTCATTAATCTGAGTAGTACCTTCAAGCAGTGTTTCCCAACCTTTTCTGAGCCGTGGCACATACATACATATCATCAGGACAAACCCCACAGCACACCACCGAAGAAAAATCTCACAAAAAGTATATGTAATTAAATATAATAATATTCTAGTTTAAATTTACTTAAAAAATGTACTCCTGTTTAGTTTAAGACAATGCTAATATACTGGCAGGAATTGAAGAAAGACACAAAGATCTTCTTCAACAGCTCTGCTGATCTTTTCTTAGTTTTAATAACCATCTGCTGCCACCTAGTGGAAGAGGATTTCATTGCTCTTTGACTAACAAAGAAAAATTATTTGCACTAAATACTAGTTTTGGGACATTGGATAATTTCCCACGGCACATTAGTGTGCCACGGCACAGTGGTTGGGAATTACTGACTTAAAGCACATGTCAACATCAATGTCCGCAGGTCGAATATGGTCCGCTAAGTCATTTTGTGCGGCCCGCAGGAGCGTTAAATTGTCTTATAGTAAAAGTCTGTGCTGCTTCAAATTACAGCTACAACAATGCATTTCATGATGATGAGTTATCTATGAGCAGAGAGCTACGCGGTGTGGTCAATGACAAGCAGCATCAATGCATCAGCTTCACACAAAACCTGACTCACAGACTGAGATATCTGTGTTTGTACGTTTATTTTATAATTTACCAGACAAAATTCAGTTTAAATGTTAGTTTTTCAACCTGATGGCTCAAAGGCTTAAAAAGGGAAAAATTCTTAATTCTTTCTTGAATATTCATGTGTTTTGCGTAGACGCAGGGTGTCAACCATAAGGTCCGCGGCCCACACCCGGCCTCTTATGGGGTTCAATTTGGTGCACATAATGATTTTTAAAGTAAAAAAATGCAGAGACCCTTCATGTTTATGATGTTTTGTAAAATTATACTTCATTAAATAGGGAGATTGTCTAATATACCTGTACTCCTCTGCATAAAAACAAAGGAGATAAACATGTATTTATAGACTTTCATTTATTGAACTGGTCCGGCCCTAATTAGGCTGTATGTGACCCGTGAACCAAAATGAGTTTGACGCCCCAGGTGTAGACTATGATCCAGATTTGGTACGAATGCAGTTTTTGTTGACTGGTGATTTAAGTTGGGTTTGTTCAGCATTTACAGTAACAAAGCATCATTAAACAACTTTTGAACAGCGTGTACTCACTCTGACTCCCTTCGGTCCCATTCTACCTACAGGCCCAGGAAAACCCTGAATGAAAACAATAACAGAAGACATTTCCGTGGTCATACACACAGACACAACTTCAGTAACAGTGTCGTTAAAGTTCTCAACTCGTGTGGAAAAACAAAACACGTTAAGCAACTCTTCCAACTTAATGATTCACGTAATGACTTTTTAAAATTCAAATGAGCGTCTTGGGCTGACATTTGCAGAATTAATACTTCGGTGGCACCACATCAATTTCTCACAGACACTGCCAACAAATCCGCCCAAGCAGGAAGATACCCCTTCCCCCCACCCCCCGCAACTATAAAGATCGACTCACTGCTTGGGAGAGGTCCCCACAGCAAAGTGCAGCATCTTCGCAAACACCTCAAGCCCCGATGATTCACTGCATACAGATGGTGGGGGGTGCTAAAACCTAACCCATCACTCACCGCTAACTGTCCAGGATATTAGAGCTTGGACATAAGGGGTGCACTGAACCACTGAGACGCGACGCCAAGGCCGTTAACTTGTGTTAGCTCAGACACTGAAGTGGCTGCGTCATTTACATTTACTTAAAGCTACAAGGAAATGGATATAATTTTTTTTTTAATTCCAAATCCTGCACAGCTTCCACTTTTCACACTGTAACACTCCACGCCTTAAAAGTGGGTCAGGACAGAGTAAGCCTAGCCGTACCTGGGGAGCTGTGGCGTTAGTCACACTTTTATTACCTTTCTGTCTTCGGGGTAGTGCTTACTATGGAAACCTTTTGACATTGTATTTCTTCACTGGACCAGAGGCATCCATTACTGGAAGGTGCTCCATCAGTGAACAGCTATTGTCTACCTTTTCAGGCTCTTCCCTCACCACCTTCATAAAGCTGAGGAAAACTTTTTATTTTGATTTACAAAATTAGTTTTTGGGTTGTTTTTTTTTTCTGGGTTTACACTGAAATCCTTGAAGCAATGTTTTATTTCCCTCCAGTATATAATACATTTTAAGGGATTTAGTAGCAAAAGAAAACACAAAGGTGTCACATGTAGCAGTAGGTAAAATATTACAAACTAACATTATATTTATTAAAAGTTTTAAGCAGATAATTCTTTGTCTATTTCTCTCTCTCATTTTTTTCACCATGTGTGTGTCGGTGAGTGCACGTCTCAGTAACTCTTTTCAACCAGCACCACAACACTAGATTTACTGCACCTGCCTGCCAGGATAGCCTTTGGCCCCAGGGCTTCCATCATCTCCAGGTTCACCCTGTGGAGAGACAGATAGAGCAGAAATCAGCGCTCGAGAGGAGCAGGGGATGGGAAGATGGGGAAAATAATAGAATAAAGGACTGACAGATGAGGGGGAAGAGGGAGGGGTGTCTAATCAGGCCTGTGCTACTTTTAGCAGCATGTGGTTTCTGTTGGATTCTTTGTTGATTAAAATGAGTGGAGAAATATAAACTGAAAAACAAGCACCAAATCCACCAAGAATTCATCAGGATTTAATTGGTCCTGTGGAAAAATTGAATTCTTTAAGAGTCTTCGGTCACGTGACGTTTGTCAACTCACTGTGGTCAAAGGCGTAGAGACGCCACCGTAGACAAAGCCACTCTTACATTAAGTCAATCCCGCATTAGTCTGTGGTCAGATGATGCTAACACAACTTTGAGCCCTCCCCCTGCCCCCGCCGTCGATATGTTTGTTCTCATCCACACGCACAGTCACAGACATGAGTCACTCCTTCCTTGTGCTGGGTCCAAACCAACTTCTGTGGTTGGAGTTAGTGAAGTTATGTGAGAAATTACAGGCGATGTACTTGAAGGTAACCAACGTTCATTGTAGCACAAGTGGTTAGCACGCTTGCCTTAGAGCAAGAGCAACAGTTTGCTAGTTTGATTGTGGCTCTGAGATGAACTGCTGACCACCCCACTCACCCCTCACTCACCCACCCCCCCGCCCCCCAACGGATGATGCCACATTTACATTTAGCAGACGCTTTCATACAAAGTGCCTTACATGAAGCACAGTATTTGGTTCCACTGGGGCTTGAACCCTATGGTACCCTAGGGCAGTGATTCCCAACCACTGTGCCATGGCACACCATTGTACCATGAGAAATCATTAGGTGTGCCGTAGAAAATTATTCAATTTCACTTAATTGGGCTGAAAACTATTACACATTTAATTTTTCTTTGTTCGTCAAAGCATGAGATTTTTCCTGTGCCGTGGCTCAAAAACGGTTAGGAAACACTGCCTTAGGGTCCCTTCCCTATGGTAAGCACAGTCGTGTATGACGTTGAAATGATTAGGCAGTAGAAGATGAAAGAATGATTAATATAAGGTATTTAAGATTGAATAATTAGAATGAATTATCTGATAGACGTTTAAATGCAGTGACTGTGTGAAGTGTTGTGTCAGGAAGTGCAAAATGAATGAACTTTGTACAAAAGATTTAATCGTAAAATCATGTCATTTGTAGTCATTAGCAATCCAAGGCACAGTTATCGGAAATTATCCAAAGGAGACAGGAAAAGTTATTGTTTTCTTTGTGACAGAGCACATTTTTAAAATTGAGAGAGAGAGACAGAGAGAGAGTGGGAGAGAGCGAAAGAGAGAAAGTAGTGAAAAGGAATGACCTTTGGTCTCCAAACTTTTTTATTCCAGTAGCAACATTGCCAAAAAATCCTCTGCTCAGTTTCCTGCTAACGACTCCCAAATGACTAATGTGTCTGTTTTATAACTTTAACCCACTCACAGCCATCATACATATTATTTAACTATAAATACGCACCAGGGTCTTATGGGAACAATTTCCACAAACCTCCATTCAACAAACCCCACATTCACTGAATAACAGCACAGCCATAAACACAGATACAGTGTATACGATGATTTTACAAGTCGGACAGAGAGGCAGTGAGAGGACATTACAGTTGTTGTGAGGCGGCACAAATATAATCGTGTTGCTGTAAAGAAATATCACATTTATCAATATTTTGGCCATAGGTCCTTGACTTACGTTGGGATTCCATTCCTATGGCACAACATAACATGATTTTATACCTATGTAACTCACCTATGCTAACGTATACTAATCTAGGACAGTGGTTCTCCAACTTTTTCTACTCTGTACCACCTGAGAAAACATTGATCTCTCTGAGTACCACCATGATGACCAACATTAGAATATAGCAGCATAGGCCTTCACTATTAGCTTCCACCACAGGAGAGATGTTTAGAAATGTTTAGAAAGATGTTTATGTTTAAATGTTGTATCGATTGTACATGGTATGTTTCAGGTTTATTCAATTGAAAATGTAAATGTGAAAATATGAATTATCCCCATGTACCACAAGAGAGTGTACCACAGTTTAAGAACCACTGATGTAGGACATAAAAATATCAGAAGTGTCTGACTTCCCCATTGGGAACCATAATGAAGAGCAAAAAAAAAAAACAACAAGCAAAAGAAAGCGAACGTAGCTCAATCTAAATGTTGTACAACCGGCAACATTAAGTTAAGCCGTCTTCCGCATACAGCGCTGTGTGACAACTTATTCGTCCCCTACGGTCGCCGACTAGTTCCTGTGTGAAATTAGTTTTAATGACTAACATCGGAATGATGGAACAAGATTTACTTATTACGTAAATATATGGGAGAGGGTGACATATCTACGAAACATCGTACGTCAAGGACATCGTAAACCGAGGATTACCTGTATTTTATTCCAAATCAAAAAAAGAAAATGTGTTTTTATCTAGCTTCAGAACCAGTGCGTATTATAAAATTGTAGCAATTCCACTGTTATGCTGTTTCACTAATGTGTTCATTATAGTTTGGCCAAAAGGCATGTAACAGCAAATTAGTGATTGACTACCACGAATATGGTGGATGAAATCCTGCATATTTCATTGCTAATCACAGGAAAATGTCCATTTTTACACAGTAGAAAACTGAATCAATCATCAGTGGTTACTTACAGTTTCACCTTGAAGACCACTGGAACCAGGATGACCTTTCTGTCCCTAATGAGAAAAAAAGAAAAGTCAGTCAGATTTTAGCAAAGCTTTGCACGAAATAAGAAAAAAAACAAAACATTTTTAATTAAACTAAATTTAATTTCAGTTGCTCGTTAATTTGTAATAAAAATCCCCTAACACCACAGGGACTGAAAGTGTGTAGGTAAGCTGATTATTTCTCAAATGAAATAATAATAATAAATAATGATTGATAATGAGTTCACAGAGCCTTCATATTACGAAACCAAGTGAGGTATTTTCACACTGAACGTCCTGCTTGTTTAGCAATTAATGCGCTAAAGTGGATTAAACAGATGAGATGAAACATTTAAATTTTTATCAATCAGTCGTGCCTTTACCTCACTGAATACAGATTTATATGAGTTTGATGGAATGTCTAAAACATGGGTTTCCAAACTTTTTTCCCAAACAGGCCAAGGACCCCCAAACAGCATTCGCATAAGGAGCACAGCAGCTTGATAACAGGCGAAAACCACCAGGTCAACACAGATTACGATGTTGTCATGCAGAAGTTGCATGTATCACATGCGGTGCGTTTAGGTACCATCAGAAATTTGAGAATCCAAAAATTACCACAGCTTACATGTTATGTTGTAGGGTCCAGGACAAAAGGTTGAAAATAATAAATAAATAAAATAATAAATTAAAATTCTTTGTTCTTATCTTTCCTCCAATTTTCTGAGGCCCCCTAGCGCCCCCTGGCAGCCCCATTTTGAAAATCGCTGATCTAAAACATAGTTTATAACTAAAGTCTTTTTTTAATGTAGTCAAAATGATGACGCAAACCTGGCAGCCCAGAAGGAACGAGGCTTGCCAGGGAACAGCTGTTAGACATGTACCAGACCTGAATAAATGTCCCTGATTCAGCCCAAATACACTGGCTGGCCTCCAATAGCCATAACAGTATGAAATGAGCTGCAACCACCCAGCTCACAACTGAAAAATAACAGATCTATACTTCTCCAAATGTTTCAAAAACCTTACCAAAGATGCCAAACTTGGCCCATCCCCCATAGGCTTGCTTCAAAAGACTGCAACAAAAACAAACTAGAACATCGACAACCAAGAGAGCAGCCTGAACTTTTTTTTTAACTAAAAGTGGTGTTTGAGGCAGCCTGTATACTCCAAGCATAAGATAGTGAAGACAAACAGATGTTGTGAATTTACAGTATCATCTCTAGATCAGCAGTGTTAAAATTAGCAGCCCAGTAATGAATTCTGTTATGTAGCTAACTACGATAAATTAAGGCTAGCCTGATAGCCAGGTTGAATCGCAATACCTGTCTGTGTATGTACAATGGAAGTATAAAAATGCTTCTCTTCTAAGAGTAATCTGAGGTAAAGTGACCCCAGTGGTGCATTGAAGTTGGATCAATGCCAAGATTCTGGCAGCAAAGTGATGAAAATGGTAGTAAGGTTACGGACTTCTGCTCCGGGTAATCCATTTGTTAAATTCAAAATGAGACCAAAAAAAACCCCTCTGATTTAAACTGATTAAACGACAAGTTTAGTATCATTTTAAAAAATATATATTGGGATTTCAAAAGAAGTTAAAATATCCTATCTGACATTTGTATGAGATTGGCCATTTGCTGGAGGTAAAATATTCAAACTGACTGATGTGCATGTCATTGAATTATTTAGCAGAGATCTGATGTAATGCAGTGTGACGTGGACGTTTGTCTTTGGAATCTTTGGACACTTCGAATTTTAAATTAGATGTTGTGGGCTTAAACACACTTGACATTCATTTGTACACACATATTTGACCGCGCAACTGGAGTTAATATTGATGGAGGCACCAGTAGGGGCAGGCTTGAGGGAGTGAAACAGAGTGAGACCGACGTGGACTGAAACTGTCAGGTATAATCATGCTTCTACAGGGGATATTCTGTGTTGAGTTAAAAGCTAAGGCCAGTCTAGCTGTGTTGTCATAACACACAAGAAGTGAATGAAGAACTAATCTTTCCTTGGTATGGTATGGTATGGTATGGTATGGTATGGTATGGTATGGTATGGTATGGTATGGTTTGGTATGCTATGCTATGCTATGCTATGCTATGCTATGCTATGCTATGCTATGCTATGCTATGCTATGCTATGCTATGCTATGCTATGCTATGCTATGCTATGCTATGCTATGCTATGCTATGCTATGCTATGCTATGCTATGCTATGCTATGCTATGCTATGCTATGCTATGCTATGCTATGCTATGCTATGCTATGCTATGCTATGCTATGCTATGCTATGGGATGGTAGAGGACATCTGTTGCCTGAGTCAAAGTCTTGCACAGTCTTGAAAGGACACAAGAATGTTCCGGCCCACGCTGCACAGCTAGTACAAATGAATACAGTAAAAGACAGAAGAATAAAATCTGTCCCCACAGTGTGCAGCAGCTCAGTTAATCCACTGTGAGACATGAAGTTGGCACAGACTCACGTACTCCATTAGGTTTCCCTCTCTGAGAAGGGCAAAAAAAAATTGTAATTAGTGTAACTAACACCAGATCTGCTCTGGACCCGAAAGGCACAGTGTGACAGCAAAGGTGCTGCGCTTCCAGAGTGAGTAACAGACTTTAGTTAGCAGCCAGAAAACAAGTCGTTCTTTCCACATTTTTATTTCCTTATTACAAACAACTGGCAGTTCGTGCATCAAGGACAAAACAGTATAACAATGTTAATGTGCTGAGATGAGGAACTGGCCATGAGGGCCACACAGGTTATATAAATGTCCACGTTGACTCCAGGGTGGCATGATCAGAGCTGACGGAATAAGAAAGTAAGCTAGTCCAAGACTGGCAATACTGTACACTGTGTTTCACCTTTATACCCACATGAAACACACGGATTCCCTTCTCATTTTACAGTGCTGACTGACTCCCAGGCAGCCTCCCTGTTACTTTCCTACATGTTTTCCGTGGTGAGAAACGTCCTCCTCTGGCAGCAGACCAGGGACCGAGCAGAAAACTCACTGCAAAAAGGCTGCAGCGTGTCATAGGTTTTACTGTCTGTGACAGGAGAACAAACCTCTGACTTCATAAAAGTGTGCTGTACGGACCTTTGGCTTCCAGTCCTCCAGTAAGATATTAAAAAAAAGCGCTAAGACTTAGACACAGCTGAGCACAGCTGCAAGCAATGAGGTGTCTGGTGGGTTTGGACAGAGCCAAGCTGACTTTAGTTTATTAGCTGGATACAGAGTACGTTTTAATAATTCGTGTTGCTGTCAGCAGTTGCTGGTGTGTACGCAAGCATTAGGAGGCGGGACATGAGGGACCAATCATGAGGAACAGAATAGTACCTGAACTTGTCGGGATACCAAGAAAAACATCTTTATCTGTTACAGTCGTCTGCCGGAGAAGATGTCTATACCCGACAGAGTTTCACAATCAAAATTAATCAGCAGAGCTTTTCCCATGATTCCATGTTCCATGACTCACAAAGTGAGTTGTCCCCCTTTTTAAGAATCACACACCCCTCCCTCACCACTCCAGTGAATCAAGGATCCCAGATTTCTTTCTGCACATACTGCCGCTGTCTCTCTGCATAGTTGTTATTCAGAACTTGTGGATTTATACAAAGTTGTGCTGAAACAATTGTACCCCAAAGAAAAGCCGTGCTGAGCATCTGTGGTTATGTCAGCGTCACTTCTTCAAAGTGAACAAACTTCCGTGATAATCCCCTCTGTCATCTTTAATGGATCACAGAAAGTATGAGATGCTGCTTTTCTCCGTATGTGTCCCTTGGTGTTTCCTTCCATTATCATCTTGTCAGGATCTTTAAAGTTGAAATGTTTACCAGATACAAATCAACCCAGTAGGTGGCAGTATTGCAAGTTTCATTCTTTCAACTACTGTTTGGTTTTAAATCGCAAAACAAACCTCATAATGTCACATTAATGTAATAATAAATAATGTAATGTAATTTTGTTTAAGTAAAATGCTGCACTATGATCATGGAGGTACAGTTGAGGTATCACATGTGGTTAGTGTGCTAGCTTGCTGGTTTTGACTCCTGTTTTTTTCAGTATTTGGATGCTCTCCATTTACTTCAGGTACTTAATTTAAAAAATGTGCAGATTAGGGATTTAGCTGACTAACAGAAATGAAATAAAAAATAAATTTTCGTCTAACATTTTTAGTTGTCAGTTGGGAGTGTCCTAAGCAGTAGAAAATGGATGGATGGATCAAACTGTGACCTTATTAATAATATTTTCTGACATTTTCTGATATGAAACTTACAAACACTTAGTCGTGAAGGCCTGTTAGTCACTAGGAATATTTCTGATATCTTAAGCATTACTTTTCTCCAGAGCTAACCGTTTTTTATATAATACCAAAAAAAAACTACTTAAAATAATTGGTTTATTGTTTAAATTTCCTTTAGGACAAAGCTACCGCAGAAATCCATTCATGGATCAAAGGGGTTGATTACATATAGATTTAATTAAATATGGACTGTGTATACATTTGTTAATTTTCTCCCTGCTGTAGTAGTACTTAAGGCCAAGCTAAATTTTAATTTTGATACAAAACTGACTTGACTGCGTTAGATGTAGTAGAAGTAGAGGGCGCTGGAGATTCTAAACACAGTGACTTCCATAAACTGCATTCTTCTAAGATGTGATCCTAACCTCACCGTGACCTTTATTGTGCTGATGTAATTTCCTCTTTCCTCTATCTCTACCACACTGTAACCCCGACAGCCGACACACAAAAGGCACAGTGTTGTGAATAATTTAACGCCACTCTGTCTGAGGATGTTTTATGACTCTGTTGTTGTTGTTGTCGCTGTGATAGCTCAGAGGTACCACTGTGTCTGTCTTTCTTAGTTTGAATGGATTGTCAGGCACAACACAATCAAAGTTTTCTCAACAACTTATTATTTGGTGTACTTCAGGGTTTCCCACAAATGACCTAAAATGTTGTGACCGCACTATAATCTGTCATAGAACTTCCTTTATACTGAAGAAATTAGCTTATTTTCCAACCATTCATCGGCTCAGGCTCATTTTAGACAGCAGCCAAAATATCCAAAAATATAACCCCTGCAGTGATTACAAATCATACACTCAATTATTTTTTTTTTTATGTAGCAGAGTAGTTAACAAACCTTTCTTTTCAGAGCGGGCATACACTGTACGATTTTTTAAAATCTTGTCGTTGATACCATGACACACTGTCCACAATAAACGTAATAAATAATCAATAAACAATAAACGTACTGTCCACGTTTATTGGGCCATCTCCGACTCCAGATGCGCCGGTGCCTCTTCTGTTTCGAATTTTCAGTGCACAGCATCGCAACAATCATAATGGCAGCCTTCTTTTTGAATAGCATGTTGTTAATAACCGGCGTCGGAGCTTTCAAATAAATCTTTACTGACAGCTGTCAATAAACAGGACAGTCAGCAGGAGCCGACGAGCCGTTTTCACCCGCACAGTGTGAGCTTTCTGGTCGTGTTCGATGATCGGATCGTACACTGTGAGTACATAAATCGTGATCTTTGTCCGTACATCATTCGTACAGTGTGTGATGTTATCAACGACAAGATTTTTAAAAATCGTACATGTCTGCCCGCCCTTAGTTAAGACCAAGACGGAGGATTTATGGTTGTACAAAAACAATGTGTTCTGTAGTTTGAGAGAAAAAGGATATATGTATATATGTAAATAGATATATTTTCTATTACTACGTTTACATTTCTTTAGACTATTTAGCTACAAAATACATGACTCGACAATAAAATATAAAACAGTCATAGTCAGTAATATTATTATTGGTATCAAATATGCTGTAAAATCGACTTTTTGTTGATATATAAACAAGTCAATCTTGTCATCACTAATTATGATATACTACAAATAGTACTATTTAAAACTAATACTTTCAAGAAAAAGAAAATCAATGATCTTATCAACACAACAAAAGCAGTCTGTCGTAGTATTTGCGGGGCAGGTTGAAAGTGAAAAATGTTGGAGAAAATGCAGTTTGATCCAGTTCCCTTCAGTGAATGAACATTGATGTGCATTTGTGAGGGAACTGGTTTGGAACCAGCATATTTTAATAACCTGCTGCAGGCTGCGGCTTCTATTTTCACAGCCTTGTTCTCCTCACTTTTCCGTGATCCAAATCCTCCTTCTGTTTAACTTTTTCCCCTTCTCACGTCTCACTGTCCTGTCTTACTGCCATGTCAATATATTTGACTTCTCCCTCCAGACCGACCTCACAGGTAGGTCGAATTAATCAACTCCGCTTCGACATCCTTTCCGACTCAGACTTAACCCACTGGATCCTAAAAGCTAAAATCTAAAGATATTTCTATCAATGTGACAGAGATACATGTTGAAAACTTGATGACAAAAAAAATCACGACAATGATATTTGTTTGCTAGCAATTGTTGGTGTTGAAAAAACACAGACATTCGTCTGGACTGGAGTGGAGTGTTTGTCATTTTCTATGAACGTGGCTGCTGAAAACAAAGAGTCACTGCATCAGACAGGACCAGGACTCGGTCTGGTCTGGTCTGGTCTTTTAGAGTTGAAAAGCCTGGATTTTGATGACAACTATTTTGGTCTAATAGAGGTTTGAGTAGTGTTGTTAGAGTTGTGCAAGACAGCAGACGCTGTCCTGCCAAATTTTAACAAGACTAATATGTTTGCACATGCGGAATCGAAATCCACCAAAAGCACATTAACTCGACAAAATCAGATTGATTTGCTGTTACCGCTTGATCCCAGCGAGGCTTAATCTGCCAACAGTGGCAGGAGGGCAGACAAGAAGGGCTCCCCCTGTCAGATCACCACAGAAATGATCTCAATCTCTGTGGTTGCCTTCCAGTTTAAAGCTGTCACTTCTCAATTCATTTGGTGCACTTGGTTGGCGTGCCGCGAGTCTTGTGTTCCGCAACGGTTTGGGTTCTGGTTTCTAAACCTTTTAAAATAATAATCCCTGCACAACATTAATACATGTACAACTGTAGTAGTGATGACAGAGGATTGTTGAAGGTTAACTCAATCTGATGAACTCTGTTTGATCGCTTGCTGGATTTAGCCGCTGTATGAGCTGAGCCTGTGATGAACTGTGATTAACTCCATCAGTTTATGACCACAGTGTGGTAGAACATTATGTCTGTAATTAATGGAACTGTCCGACCTGACAAGAAAATCCAAATATTTACAGCTCCAGCCATTAATATGGCAGTCGTAGTATTCGTGGTACATTCATTACTTTAATACCATTTGCATTTATTTATTGACAGCTACTAATTTGTTGAGCACAATATTTATTTGTATTGAGACTTCTCTGACTTCTTAAGACAGTGCCGTGGTCATTGTGTACTTCACTTTAAGAACAGTATAATCAAATAGTGGTCCATGGGCCAAATACTGCGCACTAGAGCATTGTCACAAACGTTTTTGTCCCAAGTCAAACGACATTATTTGCAAACTCCTGGGAAACATGACATGAGACGACGTAAAAAAAATCTCTTGCGTCCCACCTGAAGGTCGCGACCTAGTCTCAGACCCAGGAAATGCACTAGACCCAACCTCAGAGCGACCCAGTCTGTCACCGTCTGTTTGTCCGTTGTATGTAGGTGTTAACTGCGACACTGTAGAACCACAAGCCCTGTAGGTGGGGTTCCGATCCCAAATTAGCAAATTTGGTGTTAATATGATAAATGTTAGATTAGATTAGGTATGGAAATGGAGATATGGAAAAATAAACACTCACTCCAGAACTTAATTGTTTTCGTTTCCATGTACAGGCTACTTTGTACTTTCATGAGAGTTTTTTTAAGACGCTTGTACAAGCAATTGTTTTTTGTACAATTTCATTGTTTCTCAAAGAGGTAGGTCGCAAGAGATTCTTTTTTTGGGTCATCTTGCATCATGTTTCCCAGGAGTTTACGAATAATGTTTATTGATTTGGGTCGCGAAGGTTTGTGACTTGGAAACACTAGTTTTGTCTGTTGAATATACGGAGTCCAAGATGAAAGTTAAGGGTACTTTTAGCTGTAGTTATACAGTACGTGTACAAGTCCGTCAGCACATGACTAAATAAACTCCCGAATCCTCATCCTTAAACCGTGTCAGTCAGCTGCAGATCACTATTCTGGCTGCCCACTCTGTGCAGTAGGAAATCCAAAAGTCTCTGGTCGGTTTGAGACGTGTAATCAGAGTAAGCAGTGTAGGAGAGTTTGGGAAAGGGCAAGGATAGAATGCTAAAGGCCACGAGAAAAGAAAAAAAAACGGAAGGAAGGAAAAAAAATTTTTTTTTTGGTATAATCCACCATTCTGTCAGGAGCCACAGCAGAAGAGCAGCATGTGTGCAGTCAAACACTGTAAACAACTCACACTTTAAGAACTCACCCGCCTTACTTTTTACAAGTACAGAAATAATGACATCACACGGAAGTGTTTACAACCTGAGCTTCACCCACTAAACTTTTTTTCTCCCCTTAACATCCTTAACTTTGGAGCTGGTCCTCATGACGTAACGCCCCAGCTATTTCAACCGTCAGTATTCCATCCCGTGAGGGAACCACATCACAGGTGTGCTCCTCGATGCCTGTATTATGTTATGTTAGGCTTTTTTCCAAACAAGAGCTCAAACATCCATGTTTGGCTCCAGACTGTAAACACTGGATTTCACAGACTCCTGACTGCGGAGGCGGCGTATAAAGAGAGGCCAGGCCTATGAGTGTCTGCTTGATTTACTGAGCCTCCACGTACAGAACGCCACACGTTTAGTTGTTCACTTCATTTGCTGTCTGATTTATGTTCGATAGAGATTTTCGTGGACGGATCCAGAAACAGAGAACACACACTTTCACACTCTCTGGACAGATTTGTGAGCCCCCCTACCTTACGTCCATGTTGCCCAGACCGCCCAGGGGGTCCTGCGACTCCAAGCTCTCCCTAAAGTGAAAAGAAAAAAAATCACAGGAGTATTTTTTATTTGATTCATGTGAACTAGAATCATAATAATTCATAAAAGGGAATATACGAGTACTAAAGCATACTTTCAGTCCTTTCGGGGCTTGACCAGGAGACAGCCCGGGTTCACCTTTTTGACCCTGGAGAATAAAAGATAGAATTGTATCTTACTCCTCCCACAAATCATTCCAGGAACTCTCTTGTCTGCATATTTTCTGCATTACAGCAGCTCCCTATTTGACACGCCGCAGAAGAGGTTTGAATTTACACATTTTTTTATCAGAGAGTAATGGCTCTGACCTACTTATTGTCAAGAGCGGTGGTATGTTATACACAAATGTGGAGTCCGTTTATGCCCTCTCGCTACTTGGTTTACACCCAGGCCAGTGAGTGGTGCTGGGGAGTGAGCGTGTGCATTCTTCTCCCTTTTCAGGCACTGGGAATAGTGTCAGTGCATTCTGGGTAAAGCTTTTGATTTCCATTGGTGTTTCTGAGGTTGTTTGTATTGATAATACTGTACAGTATAAACAACCTCAATGTCAGAGAAACATCTCCCTCCAGTGTTTAAAAAAACTTGCAGAAACATGATTGCGATGTTTATTTAAAAGCTTAGTTAATTAACTGTAATTACAGTGTGAATAAAACGGTCAGACACTATTTTAAGTATATGAGCATGTACTTTTTCTTAAGACATGTAAGTGAATTAATAAATAATATTTAGGTCAAAGCTTTGTAGTAAAGGTGCAATCATTTTGTTGCCAGTACAGGCTGTGTGTAGGTGTTTTTCTATTGAAAGAGACAGTAAGTACTTTGTACACTAAGATACTGATGACAGAAAGACAGTATGTTTTGGCAGGAGACCCTCTGAGGGAGTTAACTTCATAACGATTTTTTTTTTTTAACACAGGCTTGACTTTCTGCTGCAGCCAAGAGCAATAAACAAATATGGACACATAAGGTATTTGCTTAAAAAAAGTATGTTAGGAATTTTAAATAAAGATGCAGCCAAATAAAGGTTATTTTATAACACTAAAAACCCCAAATTATTCAAGTTTTTATTCTACAGTATTTGAAGGGTACTTACAAGTACTATGTGGTGGAATATCATCCTATTCTGTTATCACTAACTCAAGACAAAATTAAACATTTTAAACAATAATCTGCTAGCACAGAAAAGGATTTATCATCCAGATGGTAAACTATTCTTTAAAACCAAAAACTGTGCCAGACCAGACTGCGCTGTTTGAGGTTTTGTGCGTCAAGGAGTCCAACTGACCCGGGCCAGCTTTGGTAAGGCTTCAGCAGAAACACATGTTTGCTATAAGGTTTTTCCTGGTCAAACCAAAAAAGGTGTGTTTGTAAGTTGGAAGACAGTGAAAATAGGCTAAAAGCTGGCATTATCATACTAATTAAACAAACGTTGAGATATCGTCGCAGACTTCCTCTTGATATCAGTGAGTGAAGCTGCTCTTTTGACAGTTCAAACCATCTGGAACTCGCTCTGATGCCAAGTACTTGTAAATTAAGTGAGTCTGAAAAAGACTAGAACTTCTGTTCTTTCTCCAAACATGACACAAAAGGGCTGCGTAAAAGGAATAGAGCGGGGAGAAGAGGTGCAGTCCGAAGCCAAGAGGATCTGACCTCAGAGCTTCAAACTATGCTAAACAACAAACAAACGCTAGAAGAATGAAAAAAACCACTTGAAGTACTTTTTTTTTTCTTTAGAAATTTGGATGAAGACTTTGAATGGAGGGCAAAGTAAATACCTAGTGGGCAGCAGAGGTGGGACCAAGTCGTTGCTTTGCAAGTTACAAGTAAGTCTCAAGTCGTTGCACTCAAGTCCGAGTCCAAGTCAAGACTGAAAAGTGTCAAGTCAAGTCCCAAGTCCTGACGTTTCTGTTTCGAGTCCTTTTAAACAAAATAATAATATATTTACACAGATCACTGCCACTTTTTTTTGTTGACCACCTTGTGTAGTTTTTAAATCCGAACATGATCTTTGGTATCATTTTCTCTAAGCCGCGTGTTGTTTGACAGATCTTCCTCTTCGGTTGTCCCGCAATTAGATTGGCTCGTGGCTATCGCGTCAAAACAACTTGGGTCTAATTTGGATGTTGTGCCTAAATTGGATGTTGTGCCAACAGCACATACACACACAGACGCGCTCCTTAATAACTTACTTCATAACCTTTGGGTTTTCGGAGAAAGTATCAAGTCTTGTCCAGTCAAAGGGCTCAAATCCAAGTGAAGTCACGATGTTAAAGTCCAAGTCGAGTTGCAAGTCTCTTTACATTTTGTCAAGTCGTGTCTGACTCGAGTCGAAATCTTTTTTTGTTCAAGCAGTTTTGCCAAAGTGGGGGGCAGGGACCCCATGGCAACACGGGGCAATGCTCGGTGGTTAAGCAAGACAAATAAATTTAAATAAAAATGTTACTTCATCTTCCACATCTTTCAATGTGGAAAATATTATATTAATCTGTACAAGAATAGTTCTGGTCTGTAAGAATGAGCAATAGCTACAAGTTTGTCAACATGGGGGTGGGAGGGTCAATAATAGTGCTATCTACCAAATTTTGGAATCTGATGCGAACAATATAAATATTTGGGGGATAAGACCCAATAATATTTCTCCTCTAATATAACTTCATGGTCTTTGTGATCATTTAAGAATGATGTACAGTACCTTCACTCCAGGAGGTCCAGCCTGGCCGGGGTTTCCATGTGGACCAGGAGGTCCCTATAAATAGACATAAACAGGGAGGAAATGTTAAAAGTGACCATCACTGAGAAAGCATCAATTTTAAGGTCAAGGAGAAGGAGTTTCTGTATAACGAACGGGTATTTATCAAAGTTTCTGTCGCCAGTCTTATGGCTTAAATTAGCAGAGTTCAAAGAACTCTCCTTGTTTGTGTGTCCGTAGGTGTTCTGAGACACTGTCTCTGTCTCTTGCCTGTCTGTCCGCCTCCCTGTCTGTCCCAGTTATGACATATGGATGTGATTTTCCTCATCCTTCCACTCTCCGCTCTTTTCAGAGGTCCCACATAGTTAAGGCCACTCATCCATCACGCCCGTATATTCCCAATTGCTTTGTGGCAGAAAGTCAGTTTTCCGCCGTGTACTGTAGGTGTAACGAGCTAGGACGTAATCCTCAAGACCTATTCGGTGCCAAATGTTTGGCCAAGTCAGGTGTGTGAGACGTAGCGGGGCGGACAATGGGAGGGAGACACAATTTATTTAAAGGACAATAAAGTGAAACAAGCTGCAGAGACGGATTGCTCGGAAAAATAAAGCCACAGCTTCCTGAGGCATCCAACTGAGGAGACTTCCATTCAGCGGCACAATTGTGTGGAGCCAGGCCGAAACGCTGAGCATGGAAAAATCTTACACAGCAAAATTGAAACCATTGAAACATGTTAAGATGCTACAACAGGGGTTTTTTGTTTTTTTTTATATTCACATTTTCCATGTGGTTGCAGAGACAGATTTTTCCTTTAGGCTAAAGGTGGTGAAGAGTAAAGCTGGACAACCCGTCCAGTTTCTGACTCTTGTATTTATCTGTGTTTTATTATCAGACAGTGAAGACAACTCAGATCCACTCCCCCCCCCGCTCCCCGCCCCCCTTCCCTTGCAATAGCCAGGCCTCTCCCAGGCGCTTGCTGTTAGACATATGGAGACACTTAACAGAAGCTCATCTACAGATTTCTTTCTCCTGCTTTTCTTCCTCGTCCACCACCTCCCCCATCTCCTCCTCCTCCTTTTCTATTTGCAGCTTTCCCTCTTTCACTTGGTAGATATTAAAATGTATGGAAGTCATTATCTCAGGATAGGAAAAGCAGGAAAGAGGAGACAGAGAGTAATAAGGAGGTCAGGGTAGAATATTACAAATTATGCTATCGCTGAACATAAAGGTGCTGACGACAAGGTAGCTGGTCATTATCCCATCAGAGAGGAGGATAATGGGGAAAAAATGAGTCATTTTGTTGATCTATCTCTCTGTGTGGGTGAGAGGTGGTGTGAACGTCGCCTTTGCTTAATTAGAAAAAAGGAAGGAAACCATTTATATCCCAACATGCCTTGTGCACATGCACGGGAGCAGTGGAAACAGCCCTGATCGCACACACACCAGCACACCTGTGTGTTAAAGCTGTGACTCAGTGTGTGAAGCAAGTCAAAGATTTCCTAGCTTTAATGGTCCATTAACACACGACAGACTCACTTACACTTTCCCTGAAGTAAATTGGTGGAAACAAAGACTCTTCTGCTCAGTGATTGTTTAATGTAATATATCGTGCCAGATGTAGAACTCTGGGTCCATATGCTGTCTCTGTAGCAAACACACTAGGACCCATTAGTTAAATGTTAATTACATTGGCTCTATAATAACTATTTTTTAATTGATACTCCCAGCTGAATAAACACAATTTTGGGAGAATTTTAGGCAAATCTTTTTTGACCAGATAACCCATACATGTCAAACTCAAGGCCCGGGGGCCAAGTGTGGCCTTCGCGACCTAAGTGAATAGACATTATTTGTAAACTCCTGGGAAGCATGATGCGCGATGACCGAAAAAAAAAATCTCTCTTGCGACCCACCTGAGGGTCGTGACCCAGTCTTTGGGAAACAATAGACTAAACCCCTCACGTTCGACAAAATAAACAGCATAAAATACTGTATAAAACCTCCATCACTTTCCTAAATGTGCTTCATATTAGCTGAGGTACGATAATGGAGGAAACCCATCCAGACAATTACGTGCAAATCAAGTATTTAAAAATGTTTGTATTCTCATACAAACGTATTCTACTGCAAAACAATGAAAAATTGACAGGAAGCATCAGTCAGCTCATTTTCCACACTAATCGTTCAGTGGCAAAAAGAGACCTGAGGCTGAACAGTCTGTCTCTGTCATGTCTCACTGTGCCAGGCCTTTCATTGGCAATTATGCAAATGTTTTCAATTTACTAAAACCCAGCATCACACAGTGACTACGTGATGGGAGGTTCATTTTCTCTGCACAAGGCTCTTTTTGATTGATTGACTATCTCGCCTCCTCCTCCTACTCCTCCTTCTCCTGCTCACGGTGGGACAATCTTCTGCTCTCCGCCAGGTTGAAGGTGGCATGAGAAAACATGGATGTTTCTTGTGTGTAAGCGATGGCCCTGAGGTCGCAGCAACAGCAAGACTGTCTGCTCATTCAGACATAACACCTTGTTGTCAGAGAGGAAAAACCCTAACGCTGTCTCACTCCATCTGCCGAAGAGATTTTGTAATGAGTGTCTGCATTCTCCCCGGAAAGAACTTCTTCTGTGTCAGCCTTCCAAGTAGAATGAGAAATGGGATGAGGACCTTTTCAAAGTTTGGAGCTGCTCAAAACAAATCCCGAGGGAAATAAGGAGCAGAATAAATTCATAGGTCAGGGCTAGTCTATAAACAGAAGAGATGCTGTTGTGTTAAACCCCCTTTTATTAGAAATGGATTTTGCTCATTGTGTGCAGACAATATCGCCTGCTCGTTCACATACCCTTCACTAAGTTTATTTCAGTTTCCGTGTATTTTGATGTCAGACGGTTCTTTGTCATCATATTTTGTATCAATCATCAATCATTAAAGGCCAAAAGAAATTTTTTCTTTTTTTTCTGTCTAAAAAGAAAGTGGCCTCCAGACGAGTCTCAAGAGTTCCATTAGGAATGAAATACGTGAATGTTGGTCAGCGATTGTTTAAAGTGCCTGACCCCCAGACAGGCTCCTAAATACTTTTAATAAGAAACCAGACACAGCCCTCTTTCTTCCTTTCGCTGTTAAAAAAAGAAACCACAGCCCACCCCTCCGGGGCCCAACTGAAGTTGCAGTCTCATCAGCATCTACAGGTAGCAGGAGCAGGAGTACTTTAGCAGGAGGCCTACAAAAAAAGCAACCAAGATTCCCATCGCTCTATTTTACAACCTATAAAGTCACACATTGTACTGCAATTGTTACCTTAAAATTACTTTTACACCTGGTCGTGGACATCATGAAAAGATTTTTATCTTACCCTTCAAGTGAAACTCTGTGAAAACTGTTCTTACTTAAACTTAATGACAAGTGAGGAGTGGTGACATAGCTGAAACCCTGTTCCATAAAAAACTGCCAGATTGAATACATGCGTTTACGACAGAGATGGATCCCTTGTCTTTTATTAAATAGAAAAATATGTAAAATAAAAAAAAATAGTAATAATAATTTGTTAAGTTTAAGTGTTTCTCCACTCCACAAATATTGAAACGCGTCACTTTAAAAAAAGCATTTCTTTGACTCTTTGATTCGAACTGGTTGAACTTTTTCTCTTCCTATTAATACCTAAGGTACCACATGTGTTCAATTAATTATAAACTGCCAACCCAGAGGTTAGTGATTGGTCTTTAAAATGGAATTTGGCAAATGGGGAGTACAGCTTGATCAAACCCAGACAGCCAGAGCAAACTAATAATGCCTGTGTGAATGATTTGTAAGTCAACGATGTAACTGAGTGCTCGACCGAATTACCTACAGGTCATAGTAGGAAATACACAGACTCACCCGTGGACCCCTCTTCCCAGGCTTTCCTTGCAACCCTGGAAGTCCTTGAATGCCCTTAAGAGAATTAAAAAAAAGCGTTAGACTTTAGTCATGGTTTTGATGAAAACAGTCTGAACAATTAGTTCAGATGGTTCTATTGTGTAGCTAAAAGATGGATGGATAGACAGATAGATAGATAGATAGATAGATAGATAGATAGATAGATAGATAGATAGATAGATAGATAGATAGATAGATAGATAGATAGATCTTGAGCTTGTGTACTATCAGGAATACACATTGTAAGCTTGTCACACTATAATTCCAATACTTAAAAAAGTTTTGTAACAGATTATCTCCGGTTTAACATCTGTAGGAGCAGCTGTACTTAACTACGCAGCCCCTTTGTGTGGCAGCCATGACCAATGAAAGCACCGCACATGCTTTATCTTGGTTATCTTTTGGTCGAGGACAGTAAAACTCCACGAAATGCACCAGCCATCAGCTGTTAAAACAGCTCTGTGATTTGTAGCCAACATAGTGTCTGTGCAAACAGGACAGGCTGCACAGTTAGTAGGTCTGTCTCATTGCACTGGCAGTGAGGTCAACACTCTCACTTGGCACGGAGAACCAGATAAATTATGGATCCCAGTTGGATCTAAAAAAATTGCAAGTGTACACAAGGAAAGTTCTGAAAGCTCTACTCTGATGGGTGGTCCTAATTTCCTTAAGATGTTTGGATGGTTACTTATTTATTCTATGTATGAGAGCTTTAAAGAATTAGAAAAGTAAATGGGCCTGAAAACAGCTGGTGGTGTGAATAACATTACACTCATAGAGCAATTTTGATTGCACAAAAGTACAATGACCCATGATAGCCTACCCTCGAAAACTGAACATTTTTAACATTTAGTTCTGCTCAAAAATTTTGGAAAAACACTAAGGCAGTAAAATCAAGCTTACGCAACACACATCTTTATTGTAATGTGATTAGATAAGGTCACTGGGCCACGATTTTTGGTTCATCCCCCAGCAATCAGAGAAAATACTTTTGCAAGCCTTACTTCTTTTACATACAAACCCAACCTGGTCCCTGCATAAGTTTATGTTTCACTAACTTGGTGAAACCCAGACATGCCATTGGTGAACCTGCTTACTTAGATTAAAGATGTTAAGTGTAAATACGATGTATCTCATTTTAATCTAATTACTGCCAGTATTTAAGTCTTAACTGTTGCATTTAGTCGAGTCATATAACATATATGTCATATATAGTCATATATCACATATACTAGTACCAATTTTGATGTCACGGTCCCCGTCCCTTAACCTGCTAAGTCTCTACAGGTCCCACAGGCCTTGGTTTGAGTATCAACAGACTTAACTCATGTAACTTTCTGCAGACTAATAACATGAGAAACACTGCTGTCTTCCCTCAGTTTCAAACACCAATGGTCTGCTTAACATTTAAAGTGGACGGACCAGCAAAACTTTTTGAAGAAGTTAGGTCAAATCACGTGGTAGACTTTTTATACCTCTATGTTGAATGATTAAGTGTGTTATTATTCTGTAAAATCTTCAAACCTGTGTGAAGGTGTCTGTTCTCAGAATGGCCAGACACCCTCTCTGAAGAATCTGTCACCCTCCTGCCAGTGCCTGTATTCGCACCAGCACCTACAGTACTGGCAAAGAGCAGCTTTGAACTAGAGTATTTCTACCACGGCTGCTAAAAATGGGAAAATACTCCACCTACATGACATGGATAGACGTGAAAACTGACGTAAATGAGTCCATAAATGTATAATGATAGCTTCATTCACTTTTTATTTCTCTTCTGAAGAAATTTTTTTTTCTTTTAAAGTTAAGTCTATATGAAGGTGTTATTTTTAAGCCAGTGTAATTTAAATCTGAAAAACTATAATGACAAAGGTGTTAAGGAGAAACAACAGCTTTACTGTACCTCTCTGTCATTTCAAACACATGCAGCACTTGTTTGTAATGTGTAATTACCGCTCACTTTAGATATGCAAATTGACTGCGGCTGCCAAATTATACAGTAATTGCATAATCGTGACACACATCAGGAGCAGTTCAAAATACCATGATTGGAAAAACCAACATGGGCTGTCAAATTCCATTATATATAAAGATATTATAAGGAATTGAACCTAAAATGTAGAATAATGGCAGCCATGAATCAAACCGTTTATCTGTTAGCATTCACAAATGAAGTAAAAGTAAAGTAAATAAATAATGGGAATAGGTGATTCCCCCGCAGTGCGAACACACACAGAAAGTCAAAGTAGTAGAGACATGGGGTGCAGGTGCGGTTTTAGTCTGGTGTTTACACACTTACCGGAGGACCTGGTTCTCCTTTTAGTCCAGGTGGTGCAGCCAAAAGTGAGTAATGAGTCGGTTCTTGGTCAAATGTTTGGAAGCCATCAGTGGCAGCTGGAGTGACTGGAATAATCCCAGTGGGTCCGACATCCTGCACACCGGTCACTTTGGGTTCAGGTTTCTTGGCGGCTTGTTGTGCAGCAGTGTATGAAAGAGACCACTGTGTGGGAGCAGCTATGGTCTGAAGGTCTGGCTCCATCTTAAAAGTCCGAGCAGAAGGAGGTAAATCCGTGCTAGTCCCAGACGGTTTTAAAAAGTTAGTATCGCCTTGCTTTGTGTCAGTTGGTTTTGGTGTTCTGACATTGAGCCTCAAGGATGGAGTAACTGTTTGAGTAGGAAAGTTTGAGGGGCTTTCTAACCCTGTGACAACTGGAGTGGGAACGGTTATAGCACCGAGTTCTGGAGGGTTCACGGTCGGAAAACCAGACGTTTTGTTCTGCATGAGTACCTGGTCTGTTGGAACACGCTTTGTTGTCCTGGTGTTTTTTTCAGTCGAGGCCAACGTAGGTCCCTGGCCTCTGCCTGCAAGCTTCATCCCTGACAGTGGAGATTTTTGAGTGAATGTAATGTTTGGGTCGGTTGAAAACAGAGGTAGCAGAGGTGGAAGCACCGGCCGGTACGTGTCAGCTGCTCTACAGTGTTTCTTGATGTAATCACAATAGTTATGAGCTGCCTTAGCAGATGGATAAATGTCAAACTGACAGATGGCTCCTTCAAACGTCACTGAATTCTGATTCATTTTTCCCAGTAGAAAATAGCCCTCTGGGTCCAGGAGCTCCTCCTTATTTAAATGTAGATCTATGTGTACACTTTTCTTTCCACAAAAAGCGTAAAAGAACAGATGATCGCCTTGAAAATCCAAGGCCAGGGTGTGCCACTGGCCATCGTGGACATCATAGTCGAAACTGACAGAATTCCTTGGTCCCAAGTGAACCACCGCTTTCCCCGGAACAAACTGTAATGCTAGCTGCACTTTCCTTTTCTTAGACAAGACCGAGAAAAGGAAAGCACTGTTGATGCGATGCACAGAGAAGCTTAGGACCATAGAGAGGTTGGCGGTGCTGTACTGTGCAGGGAGAACTGAATGCAGGGGTACTTGGATTCTTGCCCTCGGGGTGAGGATAATTCCAGACTTGAAGGGGATGATGCCATTAGGGATGCTTCGAGACCCTGAAGATGAGGACCCACCCACCCTTCGTCCAGAAAGCCCCAGCTGCTGCAGAACATCCACATCTTAAAAAAAAAGCAAAAGTGGAAAAGTAAGGAACTCAAACATTTGCAGAAACAAACAAGAACCATCTTACAAATACAATTTTTAATCTGATCAATCACAAGGTAGCTGTGGATTAATCATATATTTATAATAAATTATAAATTAACATTGCTGAATATGAGGAAGATTCTACTTGTTTTACATTTCACACATGTGTATTTGTGACAAATCCAAATGATGAAATTATTAATATCGAATAATGTCAAGAAAAATATCCAACTCAAAATATAGCCTAATAGAGTTTGGTGACTGTACATCTTGGAAGTGACTTGAAGAATGTAATCTGTCTACAGTCCGTCACAATCCATTTGACAAATGTGTCGGTCAGCTTGTTGAAGCTGAAGTTGAAGCCTCCACAAACGCATGCTGGGCATTGTGATGGTATTTTAAGATGAGCATGCCTCGGTAAAACAAAAACCTGTCTAAATGACAACGCCTTTCACAAATCAATTATCGTCATTGATGCATTAACCTTTATGGCTCTATATATATACGGTATATCTATTATACAAAACATGTAAAAAAGTGAAATGCAAATTGAAACTAAAACAAGTGTTAAATGTCAATTTTAAAAAGCAATTATACCGACAACTTTCAATGTTCCTGTGAGGAACTTTTAAGATATAAAAAAAACTTCAACATCTGTTCATGTGCTTACACCATAGTGCCAACTAATGGGTAACAAATTAAGTGACACTTTGATAAAGCATGATGGCAGCGGTTTATAGGTTCAAAGTGTGAGTTATAGTAATCAAAAGCAATAAAAACAAGAAAACAATTACCAGCGGCGCCATTCATCAACGTCCACTTCCAGAGATGGCGGCCAATTATTTAATCATTACATCAGTCTCAAACAGAACAATGTTGGAAATGAAGAGAGAAACAAGTCCCTGAAGAGGACAATGGTAAGAAGCACATCTTACTTTATGTACGCCGATTAAGGACGACTGTTGTAACAGCCGCCCAAGCTCATGAAAACATACTGCCGGATTTAATTACCGCGTGTCTCTTGAGATGAAAATATGGGTAATTTTACTCATTAAAGTGTTATTACGTGCTATGGTATGTTTACCGCATACCGTCCCTGATTGCCTTTACAAGCCAATTGAAATTAATTTCAAGCCAAGAACTAAGGATAAATTGGAAAGTCCCTAAAAAAAAACCGAAATATTCTTCTTTAGATTAACTCATTCATTTATTACTGCATACTTCCAGGTGTCATCTGTTGAAGGGCAAAATGCACGATGACATTCACAATTGTTAGATTTCAGTGGTTTTCACATTTGGTTTGAGTCTGAAGGCAGGAAGCTGCTAAGACACCAAAGGCCTTCCCAAGCACACACATTTACATATCCCCAAACATTTCTCCAATTTCTCCTAAATTCTCTTCACACCAACTCCCCAGATTAATCCAAAACACCTCTACTTCCTAGGAACAATGGGAAGACTTTCGTCCATTCCTTTTGATCCACATAACCCCCTGTTTTTTTTTTCCCGGACCTCAAGGCTCCGTCCACTTCCTTTGTAATAACACCTTGCTCAGTGACAAAAGGTTCATAAACATGTCCTCCAACACCGAATCACACTGAATCATGGAGCCGCAGCGCCACATAGTGTTGACTGCAGGCCCAACCATGGTAATATGATTGGCCACAAGAGGCACAACCTCTTTCCTCCATTTCACACACAGTTGCATACTGACAACTGTTGTACGAGATTTCCCCGAATACTTCTCCTGTCTTTTTATTTTGCTCGATGGACCTGTTTGTTTTGGCGTTTTGTTATTAAAGGAATCGACCATCTACCGGCTGTTTCATTCCTTGCCTGGGAATACCTAGGAGGTGATTTTTTCAATTTGGGTGCTGTGACTACGGAGAGAAGAAATCCTTCAATTTGTGTCATGCTCACGAACGAAGAAAAGCCAAATCGTTCAACTGGGCCATGAACCGGATTGATTTTACCAATAATCTTTCAACTGGTGCCGTGACGCAGACCGAAACATAGCAGGAATCTTGCACACCTATGGTCAATTTAGAGCGAACCATCCAGCATGTTTTGGGAGCATGATGTTGAAACTGCAATAGCTACAGAAACTTTCACTGGAAACTAAGCCATATAATGCTAAAATGCTGTTTTAGAAAAACATGTCATTCAGTTATGTGTTTATTAAGATCACCCATCTGGGTGGGAGGGGGTGACTACATCCAAAACCCACTGAAAATGATCCAATTACTTTACTATTGACTATTGTTAGGCACCGGTGCAATTCATCAGTAATGTAAAACAAAGAGTTTTTCTGTTTAGTTAGTAGTTAGCAAGGTTGAAAAAATAAGAAATTGATCAAAGGCGTTTACTCGGCACATCCTGAATACGCTTAGTTATTCTTCTGCCTGTGTACGCTGCAGACAGAAAAGGCTTCTAAATGAATATCAAATAACTGTTCGCTTACAGAATAATACAAACCAAATGTGGCCAAAACTGAAATAAATTACAAAATTAAGAATCAGGAAAATGGAGAAATTCACAGTGTGAGGCTGCCATGTGGGGGGGGGGGGGGGGGGGGGGCTGTGGGAGGGCAGCGAGAGGTCAACCCCACAGCATGAGCAAGGAACAAGGAGTTCCTTCAGCGAAATGCTGTGATGAGGAAAGTGAATGAATGAATGTTATCTTCATGATCACTTTTTATCATTAAATGTATTGTAAAATAATCAGGAAACAATGACCTTACTTTAGTTATAATTATCTTTTGGGGTGGCTTTATATCAGCGTTCTTGATTTACAGCAAAAAGATCACGACATGGTGATGCTGGTAGTTTAGTTTAGGTTTAGTTTAGATTGGAGCCAAGAGCCTACTGCAGGTCAGACAAGAATCCTGCATCATCCTAATTAATAATGTAACACAAAATTATTTATATTCATTAGTAATGTTTTGTACAATTGACTTCAATAAATCACTCCTGGTGGCCATTTAGAGAAATACAGTTCACAGGCCCTATACTATAAGGTTCACATCTAACCTCATAACCTCATTTAATTTATTCTGCTATGTGATTCTGCAGACCAAGGTCTGTCGGGACACAGCTGTAGTGTTTAACCTGAGTTTACTAATCACATTCTTACATATGAGAACTTAGTTCCCCAGACACCGAGCTATCACCACGGGAGAGAAACATATCAAGTGTAAATTACCATGTACTATAATTGCCATTAAACAGTTAATAGCGAGAACTGTGGCTTACAGTACATTAGCAGACGACATCTGACAAGGTGCTGTAATTGAACAGGATCTGACAGATTTGAATGACAGCTTAATTAGACAACGTGACGATAATGCCAGTTATAGATGTGGAACGGCACCTGCAGGCATTGCAGTGCAGCCAAGTGGAAGCCAGCAGAAGAAAGACGAGCGAACCGCATATCAGACAGCATGGCTAATGGATCTGTGAAAACCTCCAATTACTGTACTTTTATTGAGACGCTACGTGGGGGGAAAAGGTTTCGATTTCACAGAATAGAACTACGTGCTTAGAAGTGGTATTAAACTAATTTATTTTCTGGATGTTGAATAATTGCGCATGTGTTTATAAAGTCTGATCCCAGATGAGACTAAACTATACGTTACCATGCACCATTGTGAGATACAAATAATAAATAAATAAATAAATCTACATCCTGGTTCAAAGAAATTCTTACCTTGTGCTTGTGTTAGTCTTTGACAGCAGGTGATAGTGAGTAAGATCCAAAGAATCAGGACTCTCCTAAAGAGAAAAGGGAAAGAAAAAAAATGATTTAATCCCTGTGCTAACCTATTTTCTACAACATTGTTTCCCAAAGACTGGGTCTTGACCCTCAAGAGTTTTTTTTTTCGTTTTGGGTCATCTCGGATCATGTTTCCCAGGAGTTTACGAATAATGTGTATTGACTTGGGTCGTGAAGGTTTGTGACTTTTAAAATATGGGTCCCCAGAAAAAAAGTTTGGGAATCACTAGTCGAGAAGATCAAATACAGAATCACCTGACGAATCCTGGAGTGTTTTCCTGCCGCACTCATGATGAAGATCCCAATGGGTAAATGCATAGATGGATAAAGATGAATGAATTGTACATCAATTCTATATATACTCTATATACTAAAAGGTATTTTACTCTCGTATCACACCAGAATCTGAATTCTACAGGCTTTTTTTTTTTTTAAGTTTTTTTTTTTTTTTTTTTTTTGCACAGATGGCAAATAAATCATTTCTCTCTTCTTCTCTATTTGACTGTTTATATTCCAGAATGGTATAATCAAGAACTTTTTAACAGTTTTTTTTCAACTTATCTAATTTGAATTTAAATTCAGTAACATTTTACAAATAACTTTCTGTGGAAATCAGCTAGATTAAGCTACAGTATGTTATTTTTGCCTACACTTTCTTTTTCTGTTGTTCCACATTCATTCAGTGATTGACGGAGGTGAAGTTGGTGGCAAAACATCATTTGAAAGTTGCAAACTGCCCATTTAATTATAACTGATCAAACCAACTTCACTGCCAACTTACTGCCCGGGCCACATGGTTGCTTTTGTCCAAACTGAAGCCCAAGACTCCCTTTTCAGGACAAAAAAAAAAACTCAAAGCAAGACAATAAAAGAAATGGACAGACCTACAGTACTTTAAAAAAGATGTGGTCCACACAGAATAGTATTTCATTAATTAGCTCCTCATGAATCCCTGATTAATTAAGTCTTGTGATATTGACTCAGGAGCTGCAGAACCGGGCCTGAGGAAGTGACAAATTGAACTTTTAATTGTCTACGGACCGTGAACTTCACCGAGCGCCGAGATAAAACCTGCCTGTGCAGCAGCTCTGCCTCTCTGGGAGTCAAACAGCTGTTTCTGGAACAACAAAGCTTTGCCTTAGCTTGCTGTCTGAACCACCAGGTGGCCGTCTCACTGGACCATCTCACCACACAACATATCAAACTACGTTGCATTTAAAAAAAAAATCATGATTTCGTGTGAAAGTCGATATACAATAATCAGTCAGGTGTTGCATTCATTGACCTGTCAACGGTTGCAAGAGGATGCAGCTAATCCTAGCTGATAATGATAGCAGTATTGATTCCATGGTTTCGATACAGTATAATGATATTCACATGAGTATCAATTACTCATTAAGTACAGATACTAATTAAGAAATGCAAAAAAAGCGCATGTGTCACTTTCACATCTTTTAGGGCAGTGATCCTCAAACTGTGGTACGCGTAACACCAGTGGTACATGACTGCTCTCTAGTGGTACGTGGGGAAAATTCATATTTTCTCATTCACATACCATGTACAATTAATACAACATTTAAATATAAACATCTTTATAAACATTTCTAAACATCTCTCCTGTGGTGGAAGCTAACAGTGAAGGCCTATGCTGCTATATGCTAATGTTGGTCATCATGGTAAAGGGAAACTTACTACATACCCACTTTTATGCTGCAACCCTCGTCGATGGTAACGTGAAATCGAACTAATCCACCGGAAGAGAGAATGAACTCGAGTTCAAATGTGATCGAGTTGATGCCTTAATGGGAGCCATGAAACTATTGATGTTATATTGTGTAAAAATAAAAATAATATGACTAATATGGTATGAAAATGTTAAAGTTGTTCAAAATCATATCAGTATCAAAAAATTCTGCCAAAAAAAACTAAGCATATCAAATCTCAAATTCTGTTATTGCCACCACAAACATTCTACTGTACTTCTATCATAATGGCACATAAAAAAAAGACTCTAACAAATATCCTGTTAATTTAACAAATGAAAGAAATCCATTCACATTGAATGGTTATCATCTGAGGCAGAATGCAAACATCTCACCTTCTTACTCCAAGGCAGCATCACTCACCACTACACAAGGTTACACCAGATTGGATTCCTTATCTTGTTTTTTAATTAATTCAGTAATCCAGTAATGGAGACCAAATTCCTGCATGTAGTTCATTCTCTTCAGTTTTACCTTCGGACTCGAAAGAATGTCACAGGCCTCAATAAAAGTCAACCCGCAACAGCACAGTGTAATCCTTCAACAGAAATTATATGAAGTCATTTTTCCACACGATCAGTAACAACTATTACCTCACATTAGCATGACTTCCCAGCAAGGTTTTACAAATCGAAACAAGCAAAAATACTTACACCACAGAAGGCAAACGATTCTACAACATCTAAGAAGTGTTGACGTAACAGTGTCGCTAATGACTTCTGGATCATGTTTAAACACACTTAAAAGGCACCCGTATGATGGACCCTGACTCAGAGCACAACAATGTAAACATCAACTCCAATTAGCCGTTAGGCACATGAGACAACAGTAGATTATGGCAATGTTGTCATCTATTACCTAATTTTGGCGGTGCGGATGTTAGAGTACACCGTTGCGTAGACTTCCCAGAGTGACTTCGAGGAATTCCAGGATTCAACAGTACTGAAAGTCCCCATGTTCTAGAATAGAGGTCACTGAAGCATCACTTGTAAAAAGTTAACTAAAAGTACTGTACACTTCAAGAGGAGACTGGAACTTAGATTTATTACGTGTTGGACTGTGTTGCTAAGCCTTATACGTTTCAAGAAGAAGAAACGTCAATGGGTTCAATAAGCCTTTACAACTGCTACGCCTACAACTGGCACAAAATCTGGACTTCTGGACACACTTATCAATAACAAAATTAGCTTGCACTGGCCTCAAAAGGTCTTGCAAAATATAACTCAATGGGAGCAGCCTGGAGCTTAGTGACTGTATGAGTGTAATTTCTTTTTCTTTTTTTCTTTTTTTTATTTCACTGGAGACTTTTTTGGAGTCTCCACTGTGTGGAGTCTTCAAATGTGACAGAACATAAGACTGGACACTTGTTCAGTACTTTGTGTCTGAAGTGGTGCAAGCTCAGTGACACAAACCATAAAGACAGCACTTAACGGAAATAGTGTACATTTCGTGGTTTTCCAGTGAGCCACAGAAAAACCGGTGGTCAACCACTGGCACACTGACTTGCCAAGCACAGCTCTTAAAAGTTTTCCCCACTCTCAATGTAACATCAGCAGCGGTCGTGCAACTTGTCACCAAGTTCCTCATAGGTCCAGCAGAGTATTATGATGCAACTTTATATATATATATATATATATATACAGCCCCCCCCCCCCTCCTCCTCACTAAGGGAC